TCAAAATATTTTTTTTTTCGCGAAGTTATTGAATTTACAGTTTTGGTCTTCACCATGTTTTTCAAACTGAAAGTCTCTACTGGCAACAACAACAAAGTGACGTCAGTGGAAGGCAGGGGTCAACTTTTTGGACCACAGAAGTTGTTCCCAACGGATTTGAAGCAGTTTCTTGGAGTCAAATGTGTGCTTTGGAAGCTCGCTCCCGTATCCGCGCTCCAGCACGGAACAAATGATTGGCATATTCTATTTTTAGACTACTTGCTCGACTGGCAAGCCTGCCTGCCACTGACGTCACGGCACTGAAAAGTGCGCGAATATTTGAATATTGGTTTTTGCACTATTTTCATTTGCCGATTTCACAATACCTATTATGAATTTCGCGATGCTGAATAGCATACCGGAAAGGCTAAAGGCCGGGGAGTCAGAAAATATAGTTAGTTGACGTAGCTCAAAAAATCGGTGGAGCACCCCTTTAAGCGTCCTTTAAAATTCTTTTTTGTTTAGTAAAACGAAGTAGTATTTCACGTTCTACTCGACAAGGCAGCTACTTAATTGGACACTTTCTGACGGTTTGCGTGCGTAATCATCATAGTTCCACCGCGTGCCCCTGTTTAGTTTCTTTTCGTCCAGCCCACAGACCCATAAAACTAATGTTCACCAGATAAAAAAGGCAATAACAGACTTCTATATGTTTCAGAAGTTATATGTGTGAGGAACACATAGTTACTTAAATTAGCTTCAAAATCGGAAATGTATGTAAGGCCGTCCCATATCACTTACAACGTGCCTGTCACGGATAAAAACGCCAGAAAAAATTGGCAGAACCACTTTCAAATAATTTGGAGGGCATTGTAATTAAATATATTTTATATTGATAAAAAAATTTTACTTTATAAAGTTCACCTAACCGCTTGAGACCGACGCGGAAGGACGATACTTGAAACTACGCGAGCTGTGGAGTCTACGTAAAAGTGTTTTTATGTTTGCTGATTGGCAGTGTGAAACATCGGGTTGCAAAGTACGGTAAAAAGGACTCTATGCTCACATGATGAATTGGAAGTCAAATGCACGAAATGTTCAAAAAGAGAGAAATAATAATGTTATGTTTTTCAAATAATCCCTTCCAAAACGCCTTACTGCAAAAAGAGATGCGTAAAGATGCACGCAATAATATTCATGATTTTACATAAATAGCGCGGAGGACAGACAAAGATTCTTGAAATCTTAGTATATTACATTTCATCAGCTTGCATGAGCTCGAAACTTCCGAAATACTGCCTCGGGAGGCAAATGTTATATTCGGTTTTACCTGCACTTGTTTTCGGCTCTCACTTTACAGCACTATGCTAGAATAGTCATGCGTTCTAACATTTCTCTAGGCTGCCATATCACATCGGGAGGCTGCTATAAATACTTCACAAATTTACAATTAGGACATCTATGGCTAGTGTTGCGACCATCATATTTCACCAGAAAGTTGAACTATTTAGCATGGTATGCACGTGACGTTATCACACTATAGGCTGGTGGTCAATCTGATTCCTTCTTGCTGAGAAAGTCGAATTCGACGGTGCAAAAGGCACGCTGCAGGAGGTGCAAGCTCAGTGAAAGCAAAGTATTTGAAAAGCTAGTATTATTATTCTTAGTGCATCATCGTGAGGAACGGCGCCAGCGTCTGGCACGACAAAAACATGCTTTTTGGCAAGAGCGCTTTTCCAATCAAAGTAGTTTCCAGGGTCACGCTTTTTGGTCTGCGCCAAAGATGCAGGGAAGAGGAACCTTTACAACACAGTATGTTTCTAAAACTCCCTCCCCCCCCCCCCCCCCCCCCCCCCGGCCCCACACACAGGCGCACTTCTTTATACAGTGGTGCTGTTAAGGGCTAGTCACGCGTTACCGCCATCTATAACTGGCAATGGCAACCAGACAGCTGGCTTGCCAGTTGTTTGGTTACCACCGTCGCTCATAAATGGCGGCAACCCCTCCAGCCTTTCCAGTCTGGCTTGCCGACTTGCGGCTGGCCATTTCTTCATTCCCACCATAGTACAGCATTTCTGGCCTTCCTTCTTCACCAGAGTGGAAAGGCTGAAAGTATTCCTGAGGAATTGCCTCCTTCGTTTGTGTTTGTTAATTCGACAATTTTATTTGACACTTGTTAACTGCAACCTTTCATTGCTTTTATTTTGCACCCCGTGAAGTTTAAAGGGGTCATGAAACGATATCGGGTTGGAATGTGCATAACTTTTCCGAGGCGTACTGGTCCCCTGGTCCAAGTGTACTCGCACAGGGCGCCACTGATTCAGAAGCTTCTTTGTCGCGGTGCATTTGCGAGGATTGAACGAGACTATTTCTTTTAGTCTTGCCTTCTCAAAGATTGATGTCGTAATTGTGGGATTCAAACCACCCGCCTGTCGACAGTCGAGCGCGACTCATGGATTGGGCAGGAGAACTGTGTGAGCACCGTACATCGGCTCGTAACAATCAATGCCTCGGCGGACACTTGGGTAGTGGCTCGTGTCCCACCACTGTGGTGATGAGAATAGTCGAACTCTAACAATGCCTGGAGCTCCGGCACGCGTTTTCTTCCTTTAAAACTCCACTGCGGGGGTATGATTAACGTGGGTGGCACAGGATAGCCACCAGGCCACGTGGCCGCTTCTGGCTCCGAGTTGAGGGGATGAACGATGCTCATATTTCTCTAATTTTTTTGGCGACTACCATTGCCTAGAAAAAAGAGCAAAGCCAAGTTCAATCAGTTATTAACGTTAGGGACTGTTCCCGAGCAGTATTTAGTAATGTATAGAAATATGTTATAGCTCATTTAAACAAAATACAGAGGGGTCGAAACTTGGGCAATAACTTGAGAACGACGCTCGTGTGAGACTTACAGCGACTGCCAACGTTCGGCTGTTCCTCTGACGTCACTAAAATATCTTATTTTTTTAGGTATTCCTTCCGTACACACGTGTAGTTCTATGTAAAGTCATATTAATAGGTCGCATTTAGTCATTTCAAAACTTCTATTCTCAGGGACATCTTTTTAGATATACTTCAGCAACAACAAAAAAATGTTTCAATGCCTCAATAATGTAAAATTGGTCTTGCAACATTTCTTTTTGTACTTTCAATAAATAGTGTTAAGAAATAATCTGTGACGTTGATAGGTTTCGAAAACATCCATTAGTTTTCTCCTAATAACAGATGCAGTAAAAATAAAGGACAGAGACAGCTGTCGACATCTCCTCAACTCGCAATTTGAACAAGCGGCCACGTGATCTGACCCTAATTATATACCGCCAGTGTTCATCGCAGTCATGCCCTAGGCTGCAAGGGTTTGCAGAGCAAAAGCTTGGGCTGAGCTTCAGATATTGTTATTGTTGGGCTATTGATTATCATATCTAATTGACATGAGTTGTTACCTGAGTGTTTGGCCATGCTGATTGTCATGAACCCGAGCACTCGACTAGGGGTTATGAAAATCGCTTACGTCACGGTGTCACGTGACTCTCGGTGCGAAATCGTGATGTCATGTTACGTCATGCTGTCAACAAGGTTAATACATCTAGTGACTTCCTCAAATGAAATCGATTTAACGCAGTGAGTTACGTGACGTCAAGAGGCCACGTGACATTACTTGATAACATGTATTGACACCGTGACGTCACGTGACAACTTGACACATGGTTAATCATAGTGCCAACAAAGGTGCCATGAAAACCCACAATTTATCATACGTTGCAATTATGTATATGACGATTCGATCAACAGATAGAAATACAGCCGCCAATTGTTTATTCCCATAGGTTCATTTTGTGATACTAGCAAAGAAGAAAAAAAATATTACCTTGACCGGTTACCGTTATATTTTTTTCGGTTCGGTTCCGGTTCAGTTCCAAGATGGCGGCGAAGATTTCGGTTCGGTTCAGTTCCGGTTCGGCTAAAAATAACGGTTCTGTTCCGGTTTTCGGTTCGGTTCGGTTCCGGTTCGACACCCTGGTCACGTGACCCCGGTGAGACTGAAATGACGCATGCGCGCACAAAGAAACATTGAGAACGAAGTCGAGCTGCCTGCTGCCGAGCTACAGTGCAACCTTTTAATCCTCTTCATGGACAGCACCATCTTGGGGGAAACACAAAAGTGAAAAGTGAAGAAATGCATTTTTCACTTTCACAGAAATCTATCTTAATTCTTTAAATTTGATGCAGTAGCGGAATAGATATACCTACATAAATTTCAATATAATTTGGTTCCTTATGAAAGTTTAGACATGAAGTGGGAGACTTTTTTTAAATTGTAATTAATTTTTTATAAAAAAAAGGATGTAATGGAATGTTCATGCTGTTGAATTTTTCAATAATGTGCCAATGTCTTTGAAGTGAAAGTTCCAAAAAGATCTGTGCAACAGTTATTGCGTGAGAATTTTTCTGAAACTCCATGTATTTTCTAAGGGGCTTGCAGGGTGTGCTCCCCCTTAATAGTGTCCTATGACAACAAAATTTAGCATGCATAAGCTTGAGGATACATAGAATCCAACTACCTCGCTTTAATTAGAATGTATATTTTAATACACATGAAAAACTTAAAAAAAATTTGTTAGCATTTTTAAAATGGTATTTTTGCAATTTTTCATTTATTTCGAAAAAAAGAAGTGTTCTCGCACCGATTATTGTCGCTGTTTATTGCACTCTATGCTTTAAAAGAAGCAAATTTGTCTATTTTACTTAGCTGTTTTAAGTGTGTTGCCATGCCCCATGTGCATGCATGAACACATTTTTTTTTTTTTTTTTGCACGTGCATTGTATCCAGGACATAAAAAGGAAAGCTATATCAAAGCTAACTCCAGATTTACGAAAAGGAGATCAAGCACTATAAAGTGAAAATTTCTTTCAGTTATCTCAAATAATAAAAAAAAAAAAAATCTGTTTTTTTTTTTGGCGCATGTTATCTTAGTGCATGCATTCTTGTCACAATTTCAAAGTCCCACACCTTACGTATGCAGTGCAGGAACCGAGGGACCACATACAGGGGGAAGTTGGACGTCACCCTTTGCTGGAGCTTGAATGGAGTCCAGCAGGACGTGATCAAGAAGACTGCTGGAGAGGTGCCCATCATGGTGAAGGTAACAGATTTTGCTCGCCCATCTGCCTACTATATTTTTTACAGCAAAGCTCTTTACGGGCTAGGGTTCCGTGGATTTTTCGTGTGCAGTGACTAAAAACTCTATGCTCGCGCCACCGCACGCGCACGCCTTGCCCGTATAAAAGATTCAAAGTAAACAATCAAAATAAAGCGTTGACAAACACGCGTGCAAGATGTCTTTTGTTTTAGGCTTTTGCTTTAGAACAGTTACTGTTGCAGACGCTGGTACGTGTGGTGCGTGGAACACCGTTTCCCGCATTCTCCTTGATGCTTGATTAATTTAGCAACAGGTCTATTTAGTAGATTAGTTATCGATAGGCACCATTTTTAAGATCAGTAGACTTTTAGGTAGATAATAAAGGTTTCTCAATGATTTGCTGCTGTGCGACTTGCATCGACCATGTCTATGCTTGCACTGTCCTCTCTTTGTTGTCGTTCCAAGCGCTTTCGTGCCTAGTTTCCTTCCGCTCTCCTGGGGTAGCGGTCCCGTCGCGTGTGTCTACTTTCCGCCAGGTGGCGGTCTCGTCGCGTGTGTCTAGTTTCCTCCGCCTCCTCAAGGCGGGTCTGTGTCGTGTGCCAAACAGCTTCGCTGGTCGTCTACATTCACAGGGTGGAATGGCTCGTGATTTTTTTCTATACTTCGTTTCACCTGACGATGGATTGCAGTGGAAGCTGTAAGCCGTCCCAGCCAATCCAATGCTGCGAACGAATCACGTGACTATGCCCCGAATGTGTTGATGCACCCCTGCCGAAGGTCACGTGACAGTCACATGGCATTGGATTGGATGAAAGGTGGTCCGTCGTGTGTGCCGCGGACCTCCGTAAGGCGAAACGGAGTGTAGTTAACCATGGGAAAAGTCCCTCTTTGTAAGAGAAGGAGAGTGTGTTGTGATCCTACTGAACGAGTTCAAGTTGTCCTTGGCACCGACAGGGGTGTGGCATAGCGACCTCTGGCTCTTGTCTCTTCCAGTCTCAAGTGTGCAACCTGTCGAAGCTGTCTCCAAAAGAGCTTGTGCAAAGGGGCGAGGAGTCTGAGGTATGTTAATCTGTGTTAGGTTCTGTGACTTCTGCTTCACAACTTGTCATATAGCAAAAACTCTAAGCTTTTTTTTTTTTTTTTTTTGTAGGTTATAGAAATAGTTTTGTATGCCTTTATGGGGGGGGGGGTGAGTTCTATATCTGCTTTTGAAAGTTTTGTAATTACTTTTTTAGCTTGACAATAACCTTAGTGTGTTCATGCTTTGTTGTCATCTTTGAGGTCTATGTCAGGGTGTCTAGCTACCGGGAAACCGGCAATTGTCAGGGAAATTTTAATTACCAAGAAAAATCAGGGAATTGTGTGGGATATTGTGAAAAAGCGAGCCCAGTCAGGGAAAATGAGCCGGAAACGCTATCGAGTGCCCCGAGCAAAGACTTGAGGACTTAGGGGCAGAAAAATAAGCAATAAATTCTGCTTAGAGCGAAGCGCGAGCTCTGCTCATCCAGTGTAGAGTGTGCTACCCGATGCAAACGGAACAGCCGACAAATCCAGTCCAAGCCTTGGATTGGATTGAGGGCTTGACACTAGGCGAGATCCAGTTAGACCAGTTAGAGCTATCAGATTTAGTAACAAATGGGAAAACTGCAGACCCAAATCCAATCCAAGCCGAAAGTATTCGAAAGTGTGCATGTGGCGGCCATGTGTAGTGTTTCTGGAAGTGGCTTCTCTGACAAGGTCGGCGGCTAGAAAATGCTCATTTAATCCGGACTGGACGAACCCGAACATTTCGGAATATGCAAGTTGGATTAAGCCCGTGCGAAATGTTTGTTTCAGTGCTGAATTTTCAATGCCTTGTGCTTTAATGGTCTTATATAACTGCTTCTACAATGGTCAGGGAATTTCACCTGAAATTGTCAGGAAAAACCTGGAAAAGTCAGGGAATTTCAAAGTACCGTAATATCCCGAGTCATCGCCCATCCCCGAGCCATCGCCCACCCCATTTTTTGGGCCAATATCGATTTCCGAAAAAACACCGAGTCATCGCCCACCCCTTCAAATACCCCAGCGCGGACTCTGCGATCCGCGAACACTCATCCTACCCGAATGACGCGGCCGCGGACCTTACAGTTGGAGGACGTCCGTGACAAAGTAAAACGAAGGAGGGAAAGACACTTCTTTTTGTTTACGCATTTCCTCCGTGAGCGACCCCAAAGTGGTCGTGTATCCGTGCGAAAAGAAAACGATGGAGATAACAAAATAAGAGTTTGTTAATGTAACCGCGGAGTTTTAAGTCAAAGTCTGTCTCCGCCGAAGGAAGGACACCGCGAACCCGCTCCTTCTTCCCGCCCGTCGCGACCGCGGTTGTGCAATATTTTAGGCAAAGCCATCGCGTAAATAAAGCTTTGCTGGAACGCCCTACACAGACGTTTGCAGAGCGTCCCAACCGTGCATTGATAGCCCGCCGTGCACGGACGCACGTATGTACGCACCAAACAAGAAAGTTGCGCAAGAGCTTGCGATTGACAAGGCGCCCGACTTGGCCCGACGCCAAAGTATTTGCCAACGCGACCGCTGGCTTTCCCGCTTTCCCAGGATTGCTCTTGGTCGCTTCTTTGTTCCGCTCGCTCGCTCGCTCGTTGCGCCTGGTCGGTTTTTCTATTTTCTTGTAGACTTTTCTTTCTTTTTTTTTTTACTAACTAGGAGAACATAGTGGTGACATTCTTTCGCGGAACAAACGTTCGCGCTATATGCAGATCGGCGGTGTTTCTAGCGCGTATGCAAGCAACGGACTTCGCTATAGTAAAATATTGTTTCGTGAGCATTTTTTTTTTCTATAAAACAATGAAACTAAATCGAGTTTTGAGTTTGATGTATCTCTTGTGCATCAGAGCGCGCTAGATACGCAGAGAAAAATAAGCGGTTTTCCGCTTTTTTTCAAGTGTTTGTGCTCACCCACCGAGACATGGCCCACCCCACTTTTTTTAATGAATTCCAGGCGGTAGGGGGGTGGGCGATGACTCGGGATATTACGGGTAATACGGTATTTGCTAGACACCCTGCTATGTGCTTTGTATGATAATGATACTGTATTTCACCTTGTATAGATCTTCAGGAGTGGTTTTTGTATCACAAACCTTGTGTGCATATTCATTAGATCTTGTGCATTGGTCCACCAACATTGACACCACCGTGGTCGCCAGAACCTGAAGGGATTTTTATCTTTTTTTTTCTTTTTTTTTCTTTTGAGTTTTTCATTGCTTCTAATGTTTCTATGTGTATCTAATTTGTGTGTTTTTTTACCCTTTTTCAGGAATTCGGAGGGTACTTTGTTGTCAACGGCAATGAGAAAATCATCAGAATGCTCATCATGACGAGGAGGAACTATGTAAGGAGCACAGGCTGCTTATTATTCTTTACTGTCTTTTCTGCTATGCAGCATCATGGGTGTCATTATGCAGTTTGGTTGCATGAAGTGAAATTTACTGGTGCCCCATGATTGCTTTTGTTAATCTATGTAATTCCTTTTTGACCCAGAATTTGGAGGTCAATTTTTTTCCTTTAGTTCTGCGCTTATTTAGATCATTTTTTCACTTATATGCTTAGTGTATTCTTACGTTAGGGAATTTGCATTTTCCCTGCATGTCTGCTTCTCTTGCACAATTTTTGACATATTTTCTGCTATTTCCTTCCACACTTTGTGCATCAGCTGCAATTAGTGCCATCCAGATAGAGTTGCATGGTTATGCTGTTGTTTTAAGGGGGGACACTGGCTAGAGGTTGAAATAATGAACTACTCAAGTGATAGGAAGGAAATTTGCAGAGGAGATTAACTTCAGATGAAAATGTACTGTGCAAACTTTCAGCTCTCTAGGACAACTTTACATACCTTCATAAGATGTGTCACTCTTCGTTAACAAATCTATGATACGCAAATGAAGCTATTAAGCATCATTTTAACTGCTTGAATATACAGTGAGGTATGTGGGACTTAGGGCTGTCTAGTTTTTAAAACTCAAATGTAACTATTTTAGGAAGAGTGATTACCTCAAAATATGAGATGCATATCTGTCCTTTGTCAATTTTTGAAAACATAGCTTTTTCTCAATGAGGGCTTCAACTGAAAACAAAATAAAGTAGATAGCCCAATTCCCCGGTAAATTTCAGTTCAGAAACGTCTTGATTGTGGTATCAGAATAACTTTACCTTTGAACAAAAGGTTCCTTCGTATGCGATGTGCAGCAATAAGGGGAACTGAGAGAAACATGCATTCAAACATTGAATTCCTTTACTTTGTTACTGCTTCACAATCTGTTGAAAATATTTTATATCAACGTAACTGTTTGGCACATCGTTATCAGATTTAGTGTAAGGGTGTATAAAATATTTTCAAAACATTTTGAAACTCGAGCCCATGTCCCCAGTATTAAGTAGTTATGCTTTTGCTCCTGTCTAATGCAGTTTGGGCATACACAAAAGCAGCCAAATACAGTTTGGGAAGTTTTATTTTTGTGCAGATGATTGTACTTCCATGTTGTACCTGAGCCATCGAAAGCTACAACTTACTGTCGTCTCTATCGATAAACTTTTCAGTTTGGGGGTTATTGCATTGTTGACGAATGCTAGCTCTTGAGCCATATTTTTTATTGGTATGGGTAAAGATGGTGATGGCTCGTAAATTCATAGGGCACTGGGTCCTTATGCTTGGATAGAGAGGGTTTCTTTTGAAATTTTGCGTTTGCATCAACAGCCAATTGCCATGATGCGGAACTCATGGAAAAACAGGGGCAAGATGTACTCTGAATACGGCGTCTCTCTGCGATCGGTGAAGCCGGACCAGACTGGCACCGTGAGTTGGTTTGGCACCAACTTACAAGTCTTGAGTTCACGTTGAACTCTCGGTGCCGAGTTCACCGGCTTGACCTTATTCTTGCCCTTGCAGAACATGGTGCTTCATTACCTGACCAACGGCACCGTCCAGGTAATGTTCTCGTACATGAAGGAGATCTTCTTCATGCCGGTCATGATGTTGCTCAAGGCCCTGTGCGACGTCACGGACTACCACATCTACAGCGAGCTCGTGGCGGGCAAAGAGAACGACTCCTTCTACAAGGGGTGAGTTAGGGTGGTCTGGTGCAGGTTAAGGAAAAGCAAAACAAGCCTCTCCATGATTGATTGTTTCCTCCTCTCCAGCATTTTCTCTGCTAAAGTGGAAAGAGTGGAGGGCTTTGTGAGAGGAGCTTGTCAAGCTGTGGTAGAATGTTGGGACAGTGCTACACCTATAGGTGGCGCGCTGCTCCGCCTTGGCAGATGGTTGGCAGCGCCACCGGTGACAGCTTACACGTTACGCCGCTTAGTGAAGTGCTGCTTGCTCTGACCTATTCTAATGCGCCCACAGCGTCTCCACCCCATCTGCACCTTCTTGTGGCCGCCTTTCTCGATCTAGCTCCGGAGTAAAGGTTTGCCGCTTCGGCATTTGAAAACTACCTGCATCCGGCGTTGCTCTGGACGTGCTTTCCGTCATTCGACCTGCAAGAGTTGCTCAGAGCACGGGTTCAGTCGCTTGTCCCGCAGTTACGAGTGGCCTTGGCGGGAGCGTACTGCCATGTTTTTCGTCTATCTGTGCTGCAAGATGCCTCTATGAAGCGTTTGTTTCTTCGACGGTTCGGAAATCAGTATGGGACGACATTCACCGGTGCCAGTAAGTGATAAAATCAATGTGAGAAATATTTTTCGCTCCTTTTATCACGAGGTTGCTTTTTGCTCGCCAGCGGATCGAATAGACGTGCTGGGATCCACATCGTTGCGGCAGTTTTGCCGGCTTATGGAGGGGATCTGTGTTCTCAATTTCAAGATCTCGTTTAAAGGATGTTAGCACTGATTGTGGCCCTGGACGTTTTGTATAGCACTGTGCTCTGGTAAGCTGACATTCATTAGAAACAAAGGTTGTCTGCTACGCAGGTTGACTATGCCAATCCGGCTGTATTGAATAACAAATGCTTCTGCTAGGAGCCACACAGTGGCTCCACTATCTTGTTGCTTGCTTCCAATAGTCTCAAAATTTGGTCACCTACTGGAAGCCATGAGTGCACTTGGCTTAGTCTTGGTACAAACTTAAGCCTCTGAGTGTTGCCTGAGTGTTGAAGCTTATCCAGCCTTCATCTCCAATTCATGGCTAGACAGAAGGCTAGACAACAAAATGTGACATGAAAATGGAAGTTTTCATAAATAAGTTTGTACCTTTCGAGCATGGCCTTTGTTAAAAAGATAAAGAGCAACTGTTACTCGGTCTGCTTCTCTTTGCTTTTGATCTGCCAAGGCTGTGAGTTAAGCGGCAGCGCTCAAGTTTTGTAGCTTAACATCAAATTAAGATGCCATTATGCAAAAACTATACATCTGCAGAGCCACATGTTTGGTAGTCATTTTAAAATCATGTGACACCATGCAACCAACTGAGGAGCTGCTACGGATTCTTAGCTGGGGAGTCCGCAAGCGTTGCCCTTGACGCTGTTGGGACGCAGCGTGGGAGAAGGGATCACATTCTCATCCCGAACTCGACCGGTCTTTTATTCCAAGTACCCGTTCCCGGGCAGGTCTTCCTCCTCGGCCTCACCTCCTTTCCCCGTCTTCCCCTTTGCTTCCCACATCCCTTAGTCACCGCAGTTCGCGGGCGAGGGGAATTCTCCTGCGTGGGAAAAGGGGGGACATACCCAGTTGGCAGGCTAGGCCAGGTCCGTTAGGCAGCTGCGCCTGCGTGTGGCGTGATATGTTCACCACAAAATCAACGTGACTATGTTGCTCTGGTGCCATGGGAACTTTGCGGTTGAATGGGGTTGTGAGCTGTTTGCATGTGAGCTGCAACCAGTGGCGTTTAGGACTTGCTGTTTACGTTACATGTTGTGTTTTTTTCTTTTTCAAAAGGTGCATCATCAACATGCTGAGACAGGTTCAGAACGAGAACCTGCTCACGAGGGACGAGGTGAGGTCTTACATTGGGGGAAAGTTCCGGGTCTGCATGAGGTTGCCGGAGTGGTACAGCGATGAGCAAGTTGCCCTCTTTCTTCTGAGGTGAGCCATCTGTTGCTTTAAATTTTGCTTCTGTAGAGTCATGCCTTTCACTCTGAATTATCACTATTATTTTAGGTTGTTTTGCGAGACAAAACTGATACTTTTCTCTGGAATTGTTTTTTTGCAGGCACTGCATTTGCATTCATTTGGACTCAAACTTCGACAAGTTCAATCTCATCTTGTGAGTATTCTGTCAGCTTGTATGTGACCACCTTGTTTAGAAATGCTGCTGTGACCTGCACCTAACAATCTAAGGTTGTCCCTGAGTTGTATTGCAATGGGGACTAATAGAGGATAGATTTCACTGCCATCTTTTAATGTCGTCACCACTGAATGATATAGGTCTGTTTCTGTGCCATTATTGCGGTACAATCGCATACAAAAGTAGCTAGTATTTGCTAATTCATTTGCAACACTTGTTGGTACTAGCAGGAGGCATCTTTACCTGTCTGGGGTTGTCTTGGATGCCTCCTCAACACTGGTGTATGCACAGTTTGCACACAAGGGCCAAGCTGTACAAACTTGAGCAATTAAGCATATTTAAGCAGTTCTGGTCTCTCTTCTCTGGGACTGCATGTCTATCATTTATGTTATTATCTGGTGAACACTAAAAGTTGTTTTACTAATTCAATAAATACCATATTTATTCGCATAATGAATGCACCCCCCGCAATGGCCATCAATATTTGGACTCTCTTCTTTTTCTCGGGTAGTGAACGCAGTTTTAATTTTTCGGTTCCGCGAGTCTTGAAGTTAATTTGCTTTTGCCGCCAAGCGCCCAGGCCAAGCCAATCCAAGCCGCTCACATAATGGTTGCTATTGCGTGGTTGTGGAAGTGATCAACCGTGAAACCAAGTCTCGCGCAGGCCTAGCGAAGCTGGGGTCGAGGAATTGCTCAGCCCTGGACGTGCTTCATTCATTGGAGGCACAAACACGCCATCGTCTATGATCCGCTTTTGGACAGTGATATTGTGAAAGGGGTTAGGCCATAGAACGGTTGTGTCGCCCTCCGTGCTGAGTAAGCTTCGCAGGGTCTTTTTCTTCGGCAAAAGGCACGCCAAAAGCACCCTAAAAAGGTTCGCAATTTATAGAGAATGGTTACTGTAGTGCGCCCACGACCAGCCATGGGTGCGCCTTTGTGAGTGGAGACGTGCTACAGTACCTTATTTACACGAATGTAGGTCGACCCTTTTTAAAATGTTTAAGGATCTGAAGTGGGGGGGTCGACTTATACACGAACCAAGGCATTTCATTGCCGGCAAAAACGAAACAATCGCGGTATGAACACCTCGGCTTGTTACGAATTCAGCGGGCTGTACCTCTAGCATTGTGCTATTCTGTGCAGTCATTTTATAAATTTTTTTTATTTTTTTTATTTGTGCAAACAATTATTATTGATAGTGATTCGCAAATAAACTTGAATGTACGGCGGTGAACAGTGCGTGGCGTGCCTGACTTCCGGGGTCGGCGGCACTTCTTGTATGAGTGAGCCTCACGGCTCACTCTGCCCATGGCTTCTCTTCACAGTTTTAATGTGAAAGCAATAATTGTCTCATGGAGCGAGCCGACGTCATCAGCTTTGAAACCGCGCCAAACGGCACCTTAAATCCTTTCTCCAAGTGAAGCCAGCTTCCAGCTATGAAACTATGCGAAAAGCTAGCCAACGGCACCAAAATTTCTCGATCCCAGAGGAGTGGAGTATAGTTAATATATTTTCGGCTTCAATCCCATTGGCTGGCGTGCGTCGTCGAGGCTCCCATTGGCCGCTGCACGTCAGTTTCAACAACAGCCACCCCTTGGCGCTGCGTGTCCGTCAGCACTGCTAACATGAAGCGTCCAAGGTCAGAGCGGCGAGGAGAGACGCCCTCTCCTTGCCGGCAGAGTGCGTTGCTCTGCCGTTGAAGCAAATACGCTGCAGACGAAATAAGGGAGCGGAAGAATGACAAACATGCTTTCGCATTCACAACTCGTAAGAAGTGCTCAGGTGTACCTCGAGCCTTTCTTCGCACGATTCACGGTTGCACGTCGTTTGATAGAGCGTCGAGATCATGCTGGAGCGCTAACTACGTTTTTTTGTATTGACACGCGTGATCCGGGCAGTTTAGGTTTTTGGTGCTCGTTTATGGCCATTCTTCACCCATAAGCAACCGACAACTGCGCTGTTAGATGTAAGTTTGACCCGTCGGAGTGGGTGATGCTCCAGTGGAGTCTGCAATGGCGCGGGATCTTAAACTGTGACGACAAACAGAGAGGCCTCTGCAGGCCAAAGTCTGGATAGGTGGGGATGCCTTCCGGAGTTGGAGGTCAGGGTTGCAACGTATGCTGCAAAAGTGTGCAATCGGTCCCTACCCGTGACGTGCAACACGATCGCCGAGCAAGCACAGAAGATGCGGTTGATGCTGTCATTTACAAAGTGCGAGATTTCGTTGGACGACGCTGACGACGTACTTCGAGAATGTAGCAGTGAAGACAGGATTGACATGACCAGTGCGGACGAGTCGTAGTCTAGTCGCTGACGGAGTGAGAATGACAGGGAGCAGTTTCAGTTGTCTCGCCTCCAGTGTGAACTTCCTAGTTTCGCCTTGCATGCGCAAGGTTCATGATACTTTGCCATTCTCACAGGTTCGCAATAAAATGGGCATCTAAAAATTTTTTTTTTTTGCTGGTGTGCAGTGTGGGGGGGTTGACTTACAATCGAGTCGACTTACAATCGTGTAAATACGGTACCCTGCCATGTCATACTGGCACCTAAAATGACATTTGTGCAAAGTGTGTAAATGCAAAAATTTTGCCCCGTGTACTGAACGCACCCCCAAATATCTGTCCATTTTTGGGAAAAAAAAGTGTGTTCATTATGCGAGTAAATACGGTATCTTAAGGAACTTGTAATTGAGCCAGTCACTGGAAGTGTTTTGAGGAAGCAAACCTTATTTTGTCGTTCCTGGTTAATCTGACATCCTCCTGGGCCCATCTAGACTTCCAGCTACTTTAGACAAGGGATGATTCCTGACAACGCAAATCTTTTTATTTTCTTCTCTAGATATTTGCTATCCAATGCATTCAAGGTGCACATGTATAGCATGTTTCTTGCCCTTTTGTAGGCTCATGATAAAGAAGCTGTTTGCACTTGCCAAGGGGGAGTGTGCCATTGAGTCATCTGACAACCCTATGAACCATGAAGTTCTATTGCCTGGTCATCTCTACCTGATGGTCCTCAAGGTAGCCATGTTTCCTTTTTCTTTTTTTTTGTGGGGCGTGTGTTAGCATGAAGGAGAATTTAAAGTGGGAGTCACTAGTTGAACGGCAAAAATGTTTGGTTTAAAGTTTTTACATGATATATGCAACAATCCCCTCCTAATAAGTCGAGAAATGTTTTTACGGGAACCTTTTTATATATCAGGGAGTGCAGACCACCATAACAAAATCCGACCCTATTTTTGCCACACCAATGTTTTTGCGTTTTCTTTTTTTCCGAAAACAATAGAATGGAATAGGTTGGCTAGTGAAGGATGGGTTTGACATTTATACAATTTGTTTCTGTTTTAATGTTTTTGTTAGAAATTATTGTTTTATGTACTCACCCCTGCTGTAATGCCAAATGGCAATGCAGGTCTCTATGTAAATAAATAAAAAAGATATTGTTATGACAAAAGTGGTGCAGAACCTAAATGTAAATTGACTGTGGGACCAGCAGCTTTATATCACGTGAGCATATGCGAGGACATTGAGACTTATTATTTAATTAATGTAGTATGGGTTTTGTGTGCACTGATATTGGTGTTTGACTTATAACAATATGTATTGAGAGAACCGAAAAATCCAGTTGTTTTATTCGATTATCATTGGATGAACCGACCCTTAAAAGTGCCAAGGTGCTGAGTTCCATGCTACCAGATGCGGGTGGTGGTTCAGCAATATACTACGAAAATTATAACAACCTACGGTATCAGCTTTTAAAGGGAAGCTGAAACACTTCTTGAAAAAAGCGAGTTAGAGGTGAATTCTGGCATATTTTTATCCCGTGAATCTGAATATCACTTTTGTTTTCCCCGAAGATGCAACTAAAAGCGAGAAAAAGCGAAAAAACATTCGACCAGTCGTGACGTCATACTAGGATCTTCGGGCCTCCAAGCGCGTGTCGCTCGTGTGTTCAGCGCGTGCAACGGCAAGCTTGCCAGGTATATTTCCCCGCACTGACACCAGTCGTGACGTCTCTTTCTGAGCTTTCTGAAAATAGCAAGAGTGCGCGTGCATAGCTTTGACAGGCGCTGAAGATGCGCGAGAGCAGATATTCCAAACGCTCCTAGTGTGACTTCACGCCCCGGGAAGGAGGGGCTTCGGCGGTACTTTAAAAATTAATTTCTGAAGCCTCCGTGCACCAAATTGAAAAATAATCTTGATATTCCTGATCCTGGAAATAGAATGAAGGCCATTGAAATGTTTTTTCTCAAATAGAGAACCGCTTCAGTTTCCCTTTAAAGTAGACATATTCTCTACTTAATAGTTTCCAAATAAAGGTATTTAAACTGCAAACTTGCATTATGATGCTCCACGAGTTGCACCATCATCTTTGCAAAAACCAGTTTGCATCACTCTTTGCAGGAGAAGTTGGGCTCATTTCTTTTTTCCATCCGACAAAACATTGAAAAGAAGGCCAAATCTCTCGGAAAGGCATTCAAGCTTACACCTGGTAAGATTTTATAAGAACCTTTTTTTTTCTCTCTCACTAGGTCTGTGCTAGGTGACTGCTTTGCACCATGTCACGAGATTGCTTTGACACAATCCTATGCGGAGCACAAGTTCGTCTGCTTCTTTTGCAGGGGTTTTGGTGACGTCAAGACGGCGAGCTCTGATTGGCCCTGATTGAAGGATAGTGGATAGACCTCAAAGCAAGCTGCCTTGAGGTCTACCCACTATCCTTCAGTCAGAGCCAATCGGAGCTGGGTGTTCTGGCGTCACCGCAACCCTTGCAAAAGAAGCAGACGAGCTTGCGCTACGCATAATGTGGCTGCACTTGAACGGTCAGCTTTTCGCTTACCACAAAAAGCTTTGGTCGGTCTTTACCAAGCAGCCTAACACTAAAAGCATGTTCATGCACACAGCGTAGCGCTAACTCCGTGTTGAGTCAGTGCTGACTCTGGGGCCAAGGCTGTGCTGGAACTAGTTCTGATGCTGCGCCAACACTAGCGCTGATGCATTGGTGACTTTTTGTGTTCTGCACTGTGTCGCATGTGTGAACTACCAGCCTTAAAGGGACACTGACACCCCAAAGGCCGTGTTTTTTTTTTTTTTTTTTTTTTTTTTTGCCAAAAACGATGCAAGTTGTAGTCATAAACACGCAAAAAAACACCAAAGAAAAAAAAATGTTTACGCTTGCGCGCGACTTTTTCCTTACCTCCTCGTTTCTTTTTATTTGTGACATAATTGATTATGAAATTTAGAAGCTTTGTAAGTGACATTATTATAATATTTCATAAAGGCATTCATAAAACATGTTTTTTAACGCAAACGCACTACGGCCCTTCTTTTTGAAATTCCGAAAATCTGAGTCCGGAATGATGTCGCCCCCTGGCTTTTTACCCTCCCTCGGAAAATATGGTGGTGCTTGACGCATGTAGCACTGAGGATCATCGGTGAGTCGGGGAATCGGACGAAGTTCTCTTTTTTAGGTGCCCGACGACCTCTCAGACTTAAAAAAGGAAATCGTCAAACAGTTAAAACTGGGTTTGGTGTCCATGTGCCTCGGTTGTGACTCCGCCGGGGCAGCCTTTCATGCAAAACCAACGCAACGTGGCCGCTCACGTCACTCATTAAAGTCCACTGCACATTCTTTTTGACCCCACACTGTTTCAAAGAATTTGAGTTTGCTAAAAGAGCTTCAAACTCAAAAGTGAAGCATTGTCTGCTTACAGCGATAGGCAACCCGCACAGAGCGGTTGGTCGCAGGATGTGGACGAACATGACATATAGGCATGAGAGAAATTCAAGTTGCAGGACGACTCAGTCTTTGAAGTCACTGCAATCGTGCGGATCGCGCAGGAACTTCAAATTCAGCTTTTGGACATTGTTTATTTACTTCGCAAATACCGAGCTCCCAAGTTTCGAAATTTGAGGATGATGCCCTGGCATCATTTTCAATTGTTCCAGATAAAAAAAAAAAAGTATGATTTTGATCTGTGTTGTTGTCATCTTGCTTCCGGTCAGCCATGTTCAGCAAGGTGCTGGGAACGGCGTGGGAAGTGACGGGTGCCATGAATTACTTCCTGGCCACGGGCAATGTGGTCACCAAGTCCGGCCTGGGGCTGATGCAGTTCTCCGGCACCACCGTGCTGGCCGAGAAGCTCAACTACTGGCGCTACCTGTCCCACTTCCGCTGCGTCCACCGCGGAGCTTTCTTTGCCGAGATGCGCACCACCACTGTCCGCAAGCTGCTGCCGGAGGCCTGGGGTGAGTGTGGGCCGCTTTTGTACTAACCTGCTGAAGTAGTCTATTTGCTGGGCGACAGTTCAGCAAATAGAGCACTAGAAGCGCAGCGTGCACGCAGGAGCACGTTGTGCCAGAAAAAGAGAAGGACAGATGAAAGAGAGAACGAGTATTTGCTGACTTGCCAGCCTCGCTCCCCATTCGAGCAGTGCTTCAAGGTCACACCCGGGCAAGATGGGAAGCTGTGGCAGAGCTCAGCAAAGCCCAGCGAGGAGACGGAGACGCGGAAAAGAGGGGGAAAGGAGTAAAGGGAAAACGGGTGCCTGCGTGCCCACGGGTGTTGTGCGACCCGCATTGCATGGTTCGGCTTTGCTCCGCTAGCTTCGCTTCGAAGTCAGCTTGGCAGCCTGGTGCCCCACGCGCCGAGGTGCCGCGATGCCGGCACTTTTGAACGCAACAACCGGGAAAGCAAACGTAACAGGCAGGAAACTAATACATGTATCTCTATGGAAGTAAAACGGTACCGGCGTTTTTGAACGGAACAGCTGGGAAAACATATCAACTGAGAACGTGTCAACAAGGTTCTACTGTAGTTGCATTCTACATATTCTAAAGTATCTGCATGCCAAATTTGGTTATGGTAGGACAATATTAAGTACAAAAAGTCTTGCACACAAACCGTGAAGATGCCCCAAAATTACATAAAAAGAAAAATGTGTTTCAATGTTACCATAGATATGTAGCTATAGCCTTCGCAGTGCGGAAAATAATATTGACGCCACAGAAGACTGCAATGTAGAGGATACGGCTAGGCCCACTTGTTATTGTATGCGTGATGGCGGGAGAAGTCACAACTCGAAGGAATCACGCAAAGCAAAATGGCCTGAATTCATGCCGTTCCGGGTTTCCCAGAGGTCTGCAAATGCGAACACGGCTAATTTCGCCATCGTAACCGGCAATAATTACTTTTATATATCAAATATAAAGATTCAAAAATAATAAAACACCATACAGCTCCAAATCATTTTTTTTTGTGCAAAATATTGACATTTTCTGACCCGCATCTCCTCTTAGTGTAATCTGCCACTCACAAAATGTGTGATGTCTCGCCGTAATGAACGGTCTTGGAAAAGCAAATTCCCCATACAGCTTACACCTGCGGATGATGCGCACCGCGTAACATTTTTTACTTTTAAACGCATATCGTCTGCGGGTTGTAGTAATTCGGAAAATGTGGTATAGTCGTGCTGCATGCACATTTAGACGGCCTGAACTTATAGTCCCTGACAGGATTAGAATGGGGTCCTCCAGTTGCACACCTCCAGCCTCCTGCCTTCGATAACCCTCCTGTGTCTTGTGCGCTTCGAGCGTGCATGCCCAGCCGACGCACGGCGTAAGGCAGCGTGCGTGTGCTGGAGGCCGGGCACTGAGAGGAGACGCCATTCTCTTCTTGTCAGTGACCGTAGTTGGCCCCAATGGGCGTCTGGTGTCTCCGCTGTAGACGGTAAATTTAGCCAGTTCAATACGACTGTTTTAACCCCTTAACCGTTTTGGACGAGCCTAGCTCGTCCACCTCGAGCCGTCCCCAAACCGTTTAGGACGAGTGTAGCTCGTCTGTCCTCCATCATTCGCCCCTTCGCCGTTTTAGACGACCCAGGCTCGTTCATAACGCAGTTTGAGATGCTGCCGACAGATGGCAGCACAGGAATGGCAATTTTGCATCTGTTTGGTTTGTGTTTTGTCTTTTTCTTTGTTTGAAGACGAGATTGAAAAATGGCGTCCGGTGGTGGTGACACATGTGGCCCGGGCCCATCCAAAGGGAAAAGAAATGCTTCTTTTTCAGAAGACTTTGATAGCGACATGTATACTGATGCCTACTTCTGCTCTTCAAATAAAGAAGACAGTGATTACGACGTCAAACTCAGCAGCTCCTCGGACGAAGCGGAGGATGACGACGATCCAGATCGCGCTATTGCCGATGCTCGGCAGTGGTCGAAAATTGACATGAACAGTGTTCCGCCGGCCCCCCCTCGGTTCCCTTTTCTCGGCAGCCCGGGTAAGACATTTTCAGTCCAATCAACCACTGACGTGCTTGAGTACTTTGAAGCTTTTCTGGACAACGGCTTGATCTCGTTGATAGTTAGGGAAACCAACCGCTATTCTGAGCAAAAACTCAACGCCAGCCAACTTAGCGAGCATTCTCGCCTCAAGAAATGGGCACCAACAACAACGGAAGAGATGCGGGTTTTTTCGTCGCTCCTGCTGTTGCAAGGGGTTGTGCAAAAACCGGAGCAAGAGTGGTACTGGTCGAAGAACAAGCTTCTACACACACCCATCTTTGGAGAAGTGATGAGCGGTAACCGGTTCCAGCTCATCATGAGGATGCTTCACTTCGTGGACAACGAGAGTTCGACCGATCTCGGCACTCGTCCACAGCCCAAGCTCTACAAGATAGGTATGGCCATTTCTGTCGCGTTCGGTTGAGAGGTACCGGACGGCCTACATACCAGAGAGAGACGTCTCTATCGACGAAAGCCTCATGCTGTTCATAGGGAGGTTGGGTTGGGTGCAGTACCTCCCATTGAAGAGGGCCCGTTTTGGGATAAAATTCTTTATGTTGTGCGAGGCAGCATCAGGCTATGTATGGAACAGTTTGATCTACACTGGAAAAGGTACAGATCTCAGCACTCTTATTCCGGTTCCTCCAGAATCTGCAATGGGGACAAGGGTGGTGCTGAAGTTGCTGGAGCCACTCCTTGGCAAGGGGTACTGCGTGACCATCGACAATTTCTACACATCGCCGGAGCTTGATGATGCCCTCATCAAGAGCTGCACAGATGTGTATGGAACTGTGCGAGCCAACAGGAAGGAGATGCCACCAGAGTTTCGCGCACCTAAGCTGAAGAAGGGTGACGCGCATGCCTACCAGCGGGGGAAGTGTGTTGCTCTCCAGTGGCGAGACGAGAAAGTTGTCACCGTAATGAGCACAGTGCATAGTGCAGAAATTGAAGAGTTCTCAGACACAAGAGGACGAGCCGTAGCCAAGCCTAGCATCGTTCGGGACTACAACCACACCATGGGGGGAGTCGATAAGTGCGACCAAATGCTGGCAAACTACCCGGTGTCGAGGAAACGACAAAAGATGTATTACAAAAAGATATTTCGTCAGCTTGTAGATGAAGCCACATACAACTCCTTCATTGTGTACAAAAAAGATGGAGGTAAGATGCTCCACATTGAGTACCGTCTTGCTCTTATTGAGAGCATCCTGAACAAGTACCACGAACCCTCACAGAAGCCAAAGTGCGGTCGTCCCTCCAGCCTGCTTGATGTTGACCGGCTCACTGGCCGCCACTTCCCCGCCTACATCCCATTGACCGAAAAGAAAATCGAGCCAACCCGAAAGTGCACCCTCTGTTGCAAGAAGAAGGACCAAAATGGAAAGAAGCTGAGGAAGGAGACAAGGTTTTGGTGCAGCAAGTGCAAGAAGGCTCTATGTGTAATTCCGTGTTTCGAGCTGTATCACACGGTCGGGAAATTGCCTTAGGGGCCCAGAAAACCTTCCTTTCCATTCCAAGCTTTTTTTTTTTCTGTTTTTTTTTTTTTTTTTTTTTTTATACAAGTTAGTTGAACTTGTCCCCAAAACAAAGCAGTTACAATCGACATCAATAAAATGTTTCTGTTTGCTCCGTCGTTCAATCATAATAGGACTTTATACGTGAAGTAACTGAGATCATAAGATAAGAAGATAAAAAAAAGAAGCGGTTTAGGGTTCAAAATTGCCAAAAATGAAAAACGGTTAAGGGGTTAACATGCACCGGTACGATGCTCGTCTACCGGATCGAAACGGGCCGGGGCGGGGATCCAACCTGGGGTCCCCGGGTCCCGCGATGCGAGCTTTCGCCCCACTTGCTTCGAGCTGCGATGTGTTGGCACTCTTGTGCCGTTGGTCCGCCCTGGTAACCTGTCAAACAATCCTTTCTTGGCCATTTGTCTCGAGCTCTCTGAGGATTTCTTTTGGGTGTTCATTGACCCTCGATGTTTGGAGCGTCATACCTTGCTGTAGCCCCAGTTTGGCTTCTGCTGTAACAAACACCATTCAAACTTCCCATAGGATTTGACATGTAGAACTGTTAGCCTAATTATAGCAGACCTTATTTATGTAATAAAGCATGCTGATTGGGCAAGTTTGTTGTTTAATCTTGAAAATACAATGTGAAGAAAACAGTGTTGAAGCAGAAGGTGACAGGATATGACATAATTTCCAACTGAAGTTTTTATTCCACATAAACATGGAATACATAAAAAAGAAAATAAAAGACGCTTACAAACCTTTGTAATGCAAAACTAGAGCGCAGCTCTTGAGGAGGAGGAGGGGAAAGTATGGAGGGGAGGGGAGGGGAGGGGAGGGTATGCCCCTCCTCCTCATCCGTACCCTCCTCCTCCTCCTTTCCTCCTCTTCTCCTCCTGCCCCTGAATTTATTCATGGGTGACGTGACACAAAGTCTAGATGTTGATTTCCCTGCTTAATTTAGTGGGGAAACTTAACTTGCTACAGTTAGCGAGGAAACTTACCGCCGAATTCACAAACCTCACTCCAATTGAGGGGCCCCTCCACTTCCTCGAGGAAGGCGCGAGGGCTGGCGCTGGCCAATCGCGACGGCGGATCCGTTATCGTGATTGGCCAGCGTCGGCGTTCGCGCCTTCCTCGAGGAAGTGGAGGGGTTCCTCAATGGGAGTGAGGTTTATGAATTCGGCGGTTAACCTGCTAAAGTTAGCGGGGAAACGTCCCATAATGCAACGTGCGCAGTTACGTTGACACCGATGCCGAAGCCGTCACCTCTCAACCCGGAAATAGGCACCTAAGTGCTGCGCTCTAAAACAAAAAAAGCTCTGTACTTGGTGAACATACTCAACATATGATACTCCAATCTATGCTAAGAATACCTGATTCATGCATTATTTAAGTAGTTGAATTCTTTGTCTAGTGATGACAGTGACGGGGTGCTGACGCAGGCATCGCTGCCTTACAATTCTATTAAATATGCTTCGTGGATTTTGCGCAATGTCTTTATTTTGACAAGGTGGATGGCTTCGGAATGCTCATGGTTGGCTCTGTCGTACCGGCAGGGTTTCTGTGCCCCGTCCACACGCCCGACGGTTCGCCCTGTGGCCTGCTCAACCACATGACAGCTATGGTGGAGGTGAGCACTTTCTCCGCTGAATCTGAACAATGCTCGTCTTTTTATACAGTGTGTTTGATTTTAATTCGAACATATTTATTGCTAAGAAGCTACGAAAGGTACATTAATGCAATCTGTGCAGGGGAGTGATACGGCTAGGGGGACACAAGTTCTTCCCGACAAATTGAACTACTGACTAAAATTTGTTCATCAACCTCTTGATTGGTGAAACAACACATATGGCTCCAATTAGAAACTTTTGCCGAGCCTCGTTGAGAATTACTACCACGTTTAACGTCAGTCCAAAACAGATCACCGAAATATGCCAACATTTGAAAGATGAATAGACACCGAAAAACATCCGCCAATTTCCCCTATAAATGAGCACTGGAAGATTTGCAGCTTAGTATCAATCTCAAGTTGTTGTCTTTCAAATATCCAAGCGCAGATGGTGAACCAGCAGCACAGCGTTGCCCATCTTACGTCGCTGTTGACCGGACTCGGCATGTTTTCCCTGGACGGGGCCAGACCGGAAGTTTCCAGGGCCTACGTCGTCGTCCTGGACGGCAGAGTGCTCGGCTACGTGGAAGACGACAGAGCACCGTCCCTCGTGACCACCCTGCGTACCATGAAGGCGCACGGCCTTAACAAAGTAGGCTCCGTCGGTTCGACGTCTGGACAAGTTACATAGCTGTAGAGGTCCGCGGTCACACCGAGCGTGCGTCGTACGAAAGACACGGTGTTTGCCGCAGAAATGATGGCAGAATTGTCTGCGTACATGCCTCGAGCATGTTCGAAGTGTGTTTTCTTTTTAAAGATATGCGTGCTTCGAACGTGTTGGCAGACGGTATTTCTGTTAACAGGGTGCTCGTACAAGGGAAAAACATGCCTCGAATGGTGTCTTCAGACCGTCCTTTGCACAACATATTAGCCGTGTGACCGTGGCTTTAGGACTCCATGTTTTTGGTATCAAAATGGGGGGAACCGAAAGACCCCAAATTAGAGCTGTCTTTGAGTAAAAAAAAACAAAAAACAAAAAAAAAACCAAACTTTATGGAAAAAAAACAGCTTTAATTACAGCCTCGATGCTAGTTCTTTCTTCAGGAACTGCACCCCTTCTCTGGCTCCCTTCTCTTATCGGTGTCGGTTCAATACGCAAGTATGTAGTACAGTTATAAGGTGTGTTTGGCACATAAGCATTAATGGATTGCTGGAGTCTGCTAGAATACAACTTAGGCTGAACAAGCACTTTACCTCGGGAAAGGAGCAGTCGTGAAAATTTAGGAGTTTTGGAGGACCGCTGAGGGGTACACTGGGGATCCCCTGGGTTCTTGGGAACCCAGTTTTGAGAATTAGTGCCCTACACGGGGTGAATCTCATAACATTTTTTTTTTCAAAAAACAAAATGGTGCTTTTACGTTTTGAAGCATGTGACATATAAAGTGAACTTATTAGTACACTATATTTAGTGGAGCTCTAGGCCACTGTACGAGTAGTAAAACTTCTCTGGTGGAACATATATATGAGAAGAGCGGTTTGTATTTACTGTTTCCTTCTGCCCTTACCCACCGTAAAACGCTGAACATTTACCCAACCAGAATCGGAAAATAATTATGGTAAGACAAAATTAAAGGGTGCACTTTCACTCGAGCCAAGTTTATCTGTATTTTATACTATGTTCTGGCCCATTTTGAAGCTTCCAAAAAGAGGAGGGTTGGTGCTCGCACCAGCAGTAATGTACACTCATCTTATGGAAACCGTTACAAAGTGCACAGCACATACTTCAGAGAACATGCTGTAAAAAGAGTGGTAGATTGAGAAGAAAAAAAATTCTAAACATGCCTTGGCAGGAATTGAACCCATGACCCCATGATTGTTTTACCACTGCGCCAATTGGTGGGTAGACGCTAATCTAGCTGGATTTGTCTCTGCCACGGTAGTATCTACTAACTGTTCAAATGTGAACACCGGACGCTGGCATTCACATTCATACAGTTTATATGAAGAACGAGAAATCAAAGGCATCACATAAAAAAGGACAGAGTCTGTAATAAAATAACACGCCATAACCACAAAAAAAATAAAATGAACTGCAATGTTCATCACAAACCTCAAAGAATGCTATGGAAACAGATTCTGCATATACCAACTTGGTCTGTGGGATAAAAAAGAATTAAGCATTTTAACCTTCTTTTTTTTTCCAGGTGCCACCAACTTTAGAGATTGGTTTTGTCCCCAAGACGAGCAAGGCCTCCCAGTATCCGGGGCTATTTTTGTTCTCCACCGTGGCGCGTATGATGCGGCCAGTGCTCAATGTCGCCACAGGAACGGTGGAATGGATTGGCACTTTTGAGCAGGTCCACCTCAACATCTCCGTAATCCCCGACGAGGCCCATGAGGGGGTAAGCTATGTTCTGTCCTTTCTAACCGTACGCCTGGGTAGCACTATCAGGTTACCTCCTCGTCTTGGTTTCCTAAAAAAAGAGTTTTAGACCGTACAATGTGTTAGCTCTAGGCATGTGTGAATAGTGGACTTTGAGCTTGACACAAATTTGAAACAAATACAGTAATCCCTCGTTATAAAAAAATCACTTTTTTTAATTATCAAGTGAATCGGTGGCCGACCACGCTTATTACTAAGGCCGAGGTGCCGAAAGCACGTGAACCCACACGGAGGTGCGTGGAGACCCTTGCGCTCCCTCTCCTGGCAAACAAGAAAACGAAGCAAATGGATGACGGAGGGCAGAGCTCGCAGATTGCCGTTTCCGATGCCGATGTGCTGATGCGGCCGGGGAGCAGTGGGAGCAGCGTCCACGTTCCGACGCTACTCTTGGCGCCTGCGGCCAACGCTTCCCGGCTCCTGTTGAAATCGGGTCAAAGAAGCGATGGAGCCGATGGAGCCCGGAGTCGCTTAGATCTGCGAGGTTCAGAAAAGTGGCCGGCCCAAGTCCGAAACCGCCATAGAATTCGACATTCCGGCGTCAGCTGTTCGACACTGTGCACCGTCTTGCAGAACAAGCAAGGCACACTGGACAGGTTTGAGAAATTTCTCATGCAGGCCCGTGACCTAAAGAGGAAAGATTGCCGACTTCTTTGCGCACGTCGGATTTTTTCTCGGATGTTTGAGGAGCCGGCGCACGATTTCCAGAGCTGCAACAATCTCTACAGGAGTGTGTGCAAACATGTTGGCAAAGCTACTGACGATAAATTTGATTTGTTTGCGCTTGTTGATACGGACGTTCCCAATGTTGCTCCTGACATGAATACTGCAATCGTAGACCTTGCATGCAGTCAGGATAAATTCAAAGCAACGTTGGAGAGGCCCTTTGGGAAACGCCGACGACTGCGGAGACATGAAACATCCTACGGCTGCTTCGAAACAAAGTGAAGTGCAGCGGCGGCGACAGTGTTCTTGCGATGCCTGGAGCAGTTCGAAGAGAACTGATGCCTGGATGAAATTATCGGCAAACTATTGTTTTACTGGGTAAAGCTGCTGCGAGTTGTTCATAACCAAGGTTTGTTTGATCAAATATATGGTCGGAGTGTTCTGTAATGTTCCTATCCACCTTAAAGGGCAACTCCGCTCAATTCCGAAGATTTCGGGATATTGATTGATTTCGAATTAAAAAGCCCTAGGAAAACACACTACGTCGTTTGCTTCGCAAAAAATGGGATATAAATTTTTAAATCTAATTTTAAACACGAGCGGAAATCGAAACCAAAACTTCGGCTCCGCCCGGCAACATTGGCCTCGGGTCGCCAAGTACATGGCCATCACGTGGTACGAGATGTCACGTGATCCTCGGCCCAACAACGGGCGGGATTGGGGCGGGCGCGTGGCAGGCGCGAGTGTCGTCTGCACCGCACTTTTCGCCACGTTTTGGTGTCTACGGCATTTGACGACGTCTGCACAACTGCGGCATAAGTGTGCGCGCACGTTGTGTCCGTAGTTTGGACGAAACTCCGAGAGACGATAATCACGATCGGTGAGACGACGATGGCGGTTGTGACGCGGAAGACGGCGGTAATGGCGGGACCACGGCGTGCGGCCGGACGGCTCCCAAGAAACGTGCTGCGCAGGCGCGTTACGCCAATCACGTGGACACTGCTGAGCGCCGAGAGGCAACGTTGCTGACGTCATGCACTAAGCTCGCCCAGGAGAAGTGAAAACAAGCAAAATGGGGCCATATAGATGGCGTTTAGCTCAATGTTGGCTCCGCCCATGCCGCAGCCTTGACTGCGCTGTTGGTTGCGCCTGAATTTGCCTGCTCAAGTCAGCCGATTTCGGCAACTTGGCAAGTTGCAAAGTTCGCCGGACCGTTTAACAAACATTTAGACAGAACTGTGTCGTAAGATTTCACGTGTGGTCTTCCTAGGCGATACTGAAGAGGACTGCATTGTTTTTTCAAAACCAAAAATGAAGCGGAGTTGCCCTTTAAAGGCTGCTGTCGCTGTTTGTTTTGGTTCTCTCGCTTTTATCGAATTGCTGCTTATATCTAATTTTTGTTGGCATTCCATTGACTTCATTTTAACGAGGGATTATTGTAGTTGTTCTGGCCAAATATTTTCGAATTGAATGTTGAATTGTTTCTCCAAGCCTTTTGCTAAACTCGTGCAGGTTGTTCCCAAGCTTTCACTTCTCCATTTCTAAGCTAATTTTAATATAGCTTTAATCTTTACAGACTGTGGCCTCGGAAAGTCCAATGCCTACGTTAAGATGACATGTAAACGACACATTTCATATAAAGTTAGACCCATAGAGATGCCCAGCCATACCTAATAGAGTGGATTTATAAATTTTTGTCATATGCAAGTTTCCTTTCTTCATTCTCAAATTTGAAAAAAAAAAAAAAAAGATAAATGCAGGGTGTCAGGACATCTCTACCTAACATATTCTCTTGCGTAATAGCCTCAGTTCAGTTTTGAAAACTTACTGTAATGTAGATATCAATATATACAAAGTTACCGTTTCTTTTTAAATACACCAGGTGCACGCTTGCACCATTCTGCTTTGAAAGTGTGCTTTTCTCACAAGCACACTAGTGCAGTATCGGTACTTTTTGAAGTGTTCATCATAGCGGGTCCACACTTGTAATGGAGTAGGACCAACTAAGACCGGTCTTTAAGCCTCTTGCGACGGTGTAGGACCGGATGCGCTGCTGCGGAGCAGGTCCTAAGCCGTCACAAGAGGCTTTAAAACTGGTCTTGTCTTGACCAGTCCTACTTGGTTTCTAGTGTGTGAACAGGCCTTTACTACCGAGCACCTGTGCACTGCGGAGAAGCAACAACTGTGAAAGAGAGGTCCATAGGTGTTGCTTCTCTGCAGTGCACTGGTGCTTGGAAAGAAGTGCACTCAAAGGGGATAACCCGCCGCAATTATCACTTCGAAAAATATTAACATCGCAGTTCATCAAGAAGCAAAAATTGAATAGCGTGTTGTGCGAAACTGCTATACAAAAATTCAAATATTAGCACAATCATACAGAATGAGTCAAAGGAATCGACGGATTTTTTGAGGGACTAAATAAATCGGTCTGTGGACGTACTGAGCTAACATTTTCTTAGAGAGGTTGTTGAAGGACATGCACTAAGGGTATAAAAATTTCACTGAACCCGAATTTTACCCGAGTAAAAAGTTGGAAACAGAAAACGTGAAGTCCCTACCCACGGCGGTCATCTTCTAAAGAGGAGCGTCTGATTGGCTTAACAGCTGGCAGATGGCGTCACGTAAGATCGCAGGTGGTATGCTTTAGCCGTGCCTTGGTTGCGGACAATAACATGGCACAGCTCGGGCATACTGCTTGCGATCTTACGTGCTGCCATCTGTCGGCTGTTGCGCCAACCAGGCGCCCTTCTTCAGAAGATGGCTGCCGTCGGTGGGGATTTCAGTTGTGTCGTTTCTATGTTTTTGCTCGGGTAAGTTTATTCAGTAAAATTTTAATACCCTAATGCACATTCTCTGGCCACCTCTCTAAAAAAAATTTGGCTTGCTACACACACAAACCAATATATGCGGTCCCTTCAAACAGCCATCAATCTCTTTGACTCACCTTGTAGTTAGCCCGTATAGTCACTGACAGGGTGAAAATGGCAGGGAATGTCTTTCGAACATCTGGCTTCCATCTTGCGCTCGACGCGCACGAGTCGCTGAAGTGCTGTCGAAGGTAGGAAGCTTGTGCTGGAAGCGGGGCAACAGAAGCTCCTGCCTTCTGCTCTCAGCTTGCCAACGACTAAATCTGTCTGTAACATCTGTACTAAAGGCTGGTTCACTCTTTTATGCTTGACTGTAGTTGCGCTTACATGAATGCGACTTGGTCGCATCAGATCCAGTCGTCGCATTCAGTGCAGTCGTGTAAACGGCATAACACGCTAGGGAAGCACGTTGCATTCAAGTCGCTAGACAGAGGTGGATCGCGACGGTAAATGCGCATTCATTCAACTTGTGTAAATGGAGCTCGTATCACATTTTGGAACGGGAGGATTATGGGAAGGGACTTGCTGCAGGAGCGAGTGAACAGTTGAGATTGTGGTGGTGGCCAACCTTGTCGGCGGCGGCGGAGAGCAGTCCTGTGTGGTCGCCCGCAGTTTTCTCTTGAGAAAAAACGCTAGCTTTTATTGCCAAACTAAGTGAGTGGAACGTAGTTGGAGCTGCCCAGAGAGGGGGTGGCCCCCTCCAAGTTTCGTGAAATACGACTTGTTGTTCCGAGAAAACCCCTAGAGGTTTCGGCGCAAGCACGAACGACGCTGAGAGCTCCGAGCACAGCATGGGAGTGCAGAACGAACAGCTCCTAACTCTGTGCCGTTCCTGGCTGCGTCGGAGCCTTTCGGCCTCAGGGTCCGGTTGCGGTTGGCAAAGTTTGGCGAGGCAAGGCGCGGGTAGCATCCTTGGAGCAGTTGGAAACAATCTCGCTCGCCAGGCCAGGAGCACGCACATTGCCTCTGATGCAGGGTGGCCCGGCAACTTGACTTGGAGCCCAAAATGCTTGGGTTTTGATGTTCTTTCAATTGTAGCTTTCTTTCACAGCTTTAAAGACAGTGAGCACAATCTTTACGCTGGCTGAAAGTGTCAAAAGGCCTTCACAAGCGATGCACCGGAAAATGTGGTCATGTGGTGTGGCTGGCGCTGTAAGCGCACCTTTAACTTTGAGTTTTGACACGGCGGGGCGCTACCTTCGCATAGGGCTTGGTGCGCATTTATGTAAATGTTGCCGCGTCGGCTTCATTTGAAGGATGATTGGAGTCGATGCGCTGAAGTCGCATTCATGTAAATGCAGCTTGCGCTGAGTGTGTTGTGATCCCTTCTTACTGCTAGAGCTCTGGCGCCATCTCTCGGGTAGCCGTGGAACACTTTTGACCTGCACTTAACTAACTGAAGGTTTTCCCAGTATTTGCAACATCAAGCATGCCTTTTTAAGGCTCTGGATGTTGTGCGGTTCAGAAAATGAATCTAACCCAATGGCTTCAAATGTAATAAATGGTTTCTTGAGAACTGTGGTATGGTGCAACCCTCTCAGGTGACCACCCACCAGGAGCTAAGGCAGACAAGCATGTTGAGCGTGCTGGGCAACATGATCCCATACTCGGACTTCAACCAGAGTCCTCGAAACATGTACCAGTGTCAGGTATGTATGTCTCTGCGCATGTTACGTGGGTGGGATAGTGTTGGGAATGCCATACACCCCCCCCCACCCCTTCCCCTGCTTCATCCTTTCTGTGGGCTTTTCATTGTGAGAATGATGTCGCCGCCTCAATGGCTTTGAGGAAAAGTACTACTGGCCTATGGATCCCAGGTGGTGGGTTTAAATCCTGGCCAAAGTGCACACAGTCTGATGGAAGGCTTATTCTGGAGAAGGTGCTGCGTAACCAAGATTTTGATTGTATGCGTTGACATATCCCTGTGTTGTCGAAATTACTTTTCGGTCCTTCACTGGAGCGTGCCAAGTGCCCTTCGTTGGTTTGACACGTGGAACCCCCAAGTTTGATTTTGATTTGATTTGTGAGAATGATGTCGCCAGTGCTCTTACCGTCTTACTCTTCAGATGGGGAAGCAGACGATGGGCACGCCTTGCCAGGCGCTGCGTTACCGGTCGGACAATAAGCTGTACCGAATCCAGACCCCGCAGACGCCGTTTGTGCGCCCCACTGCCTACGACCACTACCACATGGATGACTTTCCCACGGGGACCAATGCAATTGTAGCCGTCATTTCATATACGGTAGGTGTTGCTTTCCCCACTTCATACTGTTCTTAAATGGTTCTGGGCTTGCTCTAGAAGTTTTGGTTTGTTACTTGTCTGGGCTTTAATTTTCCATTGACTGCATGAGGAGTCCATAAAAAGATGCAGGTTGTCCTAGCTGGCAGATTGAACTAGTTCTTTATGAGAAAGAATTGGCAAAAAAAAAGAAGGGGGGAAAATAATAAAGGAAAATAAGAAGTTTATGAAGGAGAAAAGACTGTACAGTAAGGTTGAGGAATGAACTGTACTTAAAACTAACTGGTTGAGACCTCAATTTGTGTGACTTGGCTCTGCTGACTCTTGGAGATAGTTTAGTAACAAGCATGGAATAATTAAATGGCATGAGGGTTGCAGTTTCATCTTGATTTGGCTTGTCAAAGGAAATTTAAATTTAATAGAATGGACGACATTTGTTATTTTTGACGCAAGGAGTCCTGTACAGTTGAATGAACCACCAAGAGAGGTTCTATTCATCATCATAGTAAAGACACAGTGGACTTCCTAGCCAATCATTTTTAATGCCAGGCATCTGCGAAATCCCTCCTGAGCAAACGAAATAAAAGTTGCAAATCTGCCGAAAGTAAATTCTTTCTTTTTGGGGGAGGGAGTGGGGGTGGTGCTGGGACTAGAATTCTGGGTCTCCTTATTCCACTACAGTTGAACCTCAATTTCTTGAAACCTCATTTTACAAATTTCCTGATTTAACAAACGAATTCGGATTCGCCGCGCAGCCTATGCGCAAGGTCTCCCTTCCTCAATTTAATGAAGTTCCCGATTTAACGAGATGATTAGCGTGTCCCGGTGACTACGGTAAATCGAGGTTCAACGGTGCACTGCCCTGTATTGTCTTTCGGTATTCTCTGTCTGTCCTATGAATGCACTGCAATGGAACATTTCTGATCAAAGGTGTTCCAGGGGCACATGTCTTCATGGGGAAAGCAGTGTGATATTTTCTGTCCTGTGGTACATACTCCTTGAGTTCCAGAGGTCCTCCCACTGTTTTTCTTGCCATATATATATATATGTATATAGGTTGCTGAAATGCCGAGGCTCAATCTAAAAAGGCCGTAAAAATTGGCGCCTGCACGTAGAAATCTAAACTTTTCGTCAAAGGTGTATTTCACGGGTGAGTTTTACCTTGTAAAATTACAAGGCATAGATCCTTTTTTTGTAAAAAATAGGGCCAAAATCTTGCCCGGGTCAATGGCGGACGGCAACTCAAACGACCGATTTGAGTGGCAGGGTGCGTTTCGCGCACATAATGATAGATAGCGCTACCTCCTTGTTCCAGCTTGCTTTTAAGAGAAAATATTGAGGCCGCCCGTGAAGATGGTGGCATATTAAAATAAACATGCTCTTTTTGTAATGTACCTTTAATTTAAAAATAAATGCGGACAATGATAGCAGGAATTGGAGTGACAAAACCAAAGAAAATGCAGTTGCATAACAACGGCGCTTTTGCTGCCGACGAATTTTGTCTGCGTGTCGTCTGCTTTTTTTCGCTGGTCGGCTACACCTTCCGATGCTGCTGTCGAGAACTTTTATTTTTGTCACTTCAAGTTCTGTTATCATTGTCTAAATTTACTTTTGAATCAAATGTACATTACAAAAGGTTTATCTTCATTTTAATTGACCACGGTCACCGCAAGGAGCTGCGGAATTCTTTAAAAACAAGTTGGAGCAAGGAGGTAGCGCCATCTCTCAATACTTGTGCCAAACGAGCCCCACCACTCAACTCTGTGGTCTGCATTGCCGTCCGCCATTGTCCCTGGCAAGGTTTTTGGCCCTATTTTTTTTATAGAAAGGGAGGTATGCTTCAAAATTTTACAAGATAAATGCGACCTCCTTGACAAAAAGTTTAGATTGTTATATGCAGGTGCCAACTTTTACGGCCCATTGCAGACGCCCCACACTTTCTTGTTTATCAGCTGTAGAAACACACTGTCAACATCCATAAGAGTCAAAAGAGTCTCGTGGAATACATTGCAAGTACATGCAGCTTAAAGGGAACGAATGGAGGAAGCAAAAAGTCAGTGCAGGAGGCCGAAGAACGCACGAAAGCACGTCACAACTTCTCCAGGGCTACGACATGGAAGACGCGATGGTGCTGAACAAGTCGTCGGTTGAGCGCGGCTTTAAGCATGGCTGCGTCTACAAGACTGAGCTGGTCAATTTGAGGGTGCTGGCGGGGGACACGGGGCGGCAGACGTCCCTCGTGTTCGGCCGCAAGGCCACGGACAAGTACCTCGAGGGAAAAGTGGACCTGGACGGGCTGCCCTACATCGGCGTCAAGGTCGAGCAAAATGACCCCGTCTGCAGGTGCCCGTCTCTCATTTTTTTGCGCTACGATGCCTGAAAACACGTCTCCGACTTACCTTGTCCTCAAACAAGGTCCCCCGATTTCCGCCCAACGATGTCTTAGAAGTGGAATGCTGTTGCTTTTCGCGACTTAGGCGGTAATACGGCGGTGAGGATAGATGCGGCAGACGCCTGTTTGGCCGCACGTTCTTCTCCAGCCTGACAGTCCGCCGCAGCTCCAGCGGCAGGGAGTTGGGACACTTTGACGACGCGATGCTCTCGTTCACTTGCGCTTTTTGCCCGATGTTTGACAACCAACCGCCAGGTTTGCGACGTCCGACAGGACAGCACACAGGCTCCTGTTAGGTTCTTTGTTGCCACTTCGGGACCACTTTGGTGCATGGGCGGTATGCGGAGAGCAAGTCGTCTGCTTCTTGTGCGGGAGTTGCGGTGACAACGGAACGATGCCGACCTCTGATTGGCTTTGGTTGAAAGGATAGTCGGTGGACCTGAATGCTAGGTGCCTCGAGGTCTACCCACAATATTTTTAAATTGGCCAATAAGAGCTCGGCGTTCTGACGTCGTCGCAACCCCTGTGCAAGAAGCTGACGAATTTCCACTCTGCATAGGACGCTAAAGTCACCAGGCGGAGACGCATTCCAGACACCATAATCGCGCTTTATCTGATTTTGCTTTTTTGTGTGTGTATGTGGACCAATTACTTTTCACCCTGTCATACAATTCGCTATATTGCTTTATGTGGACTTCTCTTCTGAGGTATGAAAGGGGTTTTACCCAGAATGAGTTTAGGGGCTAGGGTTTCATCAAGAAATGTCCTAAGAAAAGGTGTCACGAGAAAGTAATCTCCCTGTTTTAATGTGGCGGGGAAATTGAATTGGTTTGTAATTATACATCAATAGACTACTTCCATAAAGCCCTGCATGCAACAAGGCGTGCGTTGCACTCTGGGAACTAGTTGGCCAGGGAGGAGGGTGACATGGTTTTGGTTTCGATCGTGGTTTCGATCGACACGTCGTCAAGAAACTATACACAGAGCGTGGACTATTAACGGCTGTTATCTCATGTTTTCTGGTCCCGAGAGCGTCATTTGTGGTCTCTAAACTAACCCAAATGGCCAGACTTCGAAGCTTTAGCACAAGCCTGAGACGTATAGCTTGTCTTAAGGGGAGACGCGGGTCTTAAAATGGTAAAAAAACGCGAAATTTCACGTTTTTCAAAATTCACATATTTGGATTAATTGTAGTCTAAGGTACCTGCCTGCAAAGTTTCAATGTCGAATTCAATGTCTAAGCATGAAAAAAATGATATTTACGATGTCCCCGCAGAGCCCTAACACAGCGAGTTCAATGAAAACAAGTGGAACTTCGCGCCCCGCGCGTTTCGCGATCGCTCGTCGGATCGCGGCCATCTTGGTCTTGTTGGAAAGCCGCTTATTTTCCCCACGTCCCCATGCCATTCGTTATCGCGACAACATCGGGAAACGTCCGCATTCCGCAGGTTTCGAAGGCCCCAATTGCGATCGCTCATTGGCCGGCTAGCAAGGTGCCCGTACGTCAGAGCACGCGCGGCGCTTAGCGCCCCTGCTATTGGCCTAAACGCGCCCCTCCGCTCTTTTTCTCCTTTCCTCCTTTCCGTTCCCGCGCTGGCGAGAGGTGCGTCGTCTGCTCCTGGGCCCATCTCCGCCCGTCTAGGCCTGTCTGCTTTGTTTCTTCCGTTATCGAGCGCACGTTTTAGTTCCCGTTTGCGCGCTTGCGTTGAACATTGTTGGTTCGCTTTCCTACGAAGTCGCGCGTGTTTTGTTTTGTTTCGCTTCGAGTTCTCGAGATGCCGGACGACGCTCGGTTGAAATCGAGCACGCGGCAAGCGTTCGGAAGGAAGAGGAAGCGACCGTGGAACAAGAAGCCGAAGCTGTCTGCTGCAAGTGCGCCACCGCGATCGGCACCGCCGGATGCCTTGGATCCTCCGGAAACATCAGCCGGAGACATCGCGACTCCATGCAGCAGCGGCAGTTTGTCGAGCTTTGCGAGCGCGGTTCGTGTCGACACCGCATACTACTCCACGGCCGAGCAGGCGCAACGAGTCGCACGATCGGACGAATGCAAGCGTGCGCTATCGGAAAAGTCGGCGACCCAGCGCAAATTCGACCTTCTCGGCGTCACCACAGGAGGCCAGACACGCGACGCTGGGACACAGTTCATTGTAGTGGACATGAAAGCTCTCAACGACCTCTTCGCGCAGGCGAAGTGCGGAAGCTGCGGTGCGGGAACCCTGACACTTAGCAAGGCCACGGACAAAGAGTATGGCTTGGCAGTCAAGCTTCTGCTCGTCTGTGCCACATGCGAGTTCGAGAAGAAGCAGTTTTCTTCACCAAGAGTTGCCGGAACGGCGAAGATCACTCCTTTCGAAGTGAACATGAGGGCAATGAAGGGAATTCAGTCAATTGGGAAAGGAGTCACTGCCCTCGCAGACTTCTGTGCGTCCATGAACTTGTCACACCGCGGCCTGCATCACAAGACCTTCCAGGGACACCTGAAGACCCATGTGCAAGCCTGCGAAAAGTCAGCAAGCGCAAGTGAAGCTGCCAGCTCAGAAGTTGTCAAGAGACTGTATGCAGACTTCTTGAACCCTGTCGGCAACATCGACGTGATCTTTGACGGATCTTGGATGACGAGAGGACGCAGCTCCCACATTGGTGTGGGCTGCATTGTCGAGCTGTATTCCGGCCTAGTTCTTGACCATGTGGTGTACTCCAACTTTTGCCTTGGGTGTGCCCTGGGACCGGAGCCGGAGGAAGAGGGGTACGGCGACTGGTATGCAGCCCACGAGTGCCAGAGGAACATAGATTGCAATTCAGGTCGGATGGAAGTGGAGGCTGCATTGACCATGTTTCAAAGATCCCTGGCCAAGCACGGACTGAGGTACACCACAGTTCTCTCGGATGGAGATAGCCGAACCTTTCATGCGTTGACCGAGGCAAAAGTCTACGGCTTCGTCAAGGTCGAGAAAAAGGACTGCATCAATCATGTGCACAAGCGGATGGGGGCTGCGTTGCGTAACCTCCTTGAGAAAAAGAAGGCCCAGGGTGAAGCACTCGGCGGAAAGGGCAGACTGACGCAGGACCGAATCAAGAAGATTCAAAACTACTACAGCTATGCCCTTAGGAGCAACAGTAACGATGTGCTGCGAGCCTGGGCTATGCTGCCGGTGACTGCCTCGTACGCCGCAGCATGGAGAAGGACAATCTGCGTTTGCGTAAGGCCAACGCTGCCCACCAGAGCAGCAGCAATGCAAAACAGAGGTTCTCCAGGCAACACCGGACTGGAACAGCTGGGGACTACAGTCCTGGACAGCTGTGAGGGGGCTCCCCTTTCGAGTGCTACATGAACAAAGGCCCTTTTCAGGGCCAAACAAAATCTGCTTTTGGAACGTGCAACCCTTAGTGCCTCCTCCCGTTGTCCCTTATAGAGTCTACTCATTCTTTTATAACTTTATTTTACATTGCAGACATTATTTCTCAGTTTTATATTATTTTTTAAAGGTTCTTGTGAACGGATCGCAGAATTTTTCATCTCAATTTGTTCAGATAGAACTATGCTTCATATAGCTGAACATTATTGCATGGGATCCCTTACTCAATTTTATGCAATGAGTGTCAAAACTTCAACTGCAATTTTCTCAGCTTCGCATTTTTCGTCTACATGCCTAGCCTTACGGTTGTTTTCATGAGATTATTCTTCAAGGATTTCTATAAACTTTATACCGTTATATTCAGAAAGAAGTGAACTGCAGGGTGATGCTATTTTTGTATGACAGTATGGGCCCGAAATTTTATTATTAGTGATAATGTGACCTCGTTAGGCTTTGTAAATAGTGTACTTGACCTAATTAGACTAGTTTTATACAATGATCTATCTTTACAAAAATATAAATAGCATCATCTTGCATGGCAGGTCTTTAGCTACAAATCCATATCACTTATGAAAAAAAATTTGTATTAGAAAGTTCCTTAATGAGTCGTAAGAAATGACCTAATTAGGCTTCATTATTTTCTTCGTAACTCAAAAAGTAATTGAGATATTGCAGAACTAATTGAATATTTGAAAAGAGGAAGCCAAAACATATATACACACTGATTTTCATTATAATCCATTAATAAACAAAAAAGTCGATTTTAGAACCAGTGTCTTGCCTTAACACATGCTTGTTCAGAACTTCAGCTTGGGCGAGTTGGCTATTCATGATACTGCTTAACAGCGCACAAAATCAGACACATTTAAAAGAAATTTCACGCATACACAGGAAGAACACTCATGCAGCATGAGTGTTCTTCCTGTGTATGCGTGAAATTTCTTTCAAGTGTGTCTGATCTTGTGCGCTGTTAAGCAGTAACATGCTTGTTGTATTTTTGTACTTGAGCCTTCCTGTTAGCGTTCCAATCGAGGTATGTGGGCGAGCCAGTGCTGGGAATCTCGACGCTGCCAAGCTCGGGGATCTTGCTTGTGTACGAATCAACAAGTTGTAGCAACCAATAAGTATGGATACATCGAGCTCGCGCCTTTACATTAGTGTTGTTAATCAGGAAGTGTGTTTGTTTCTTGCGTCCATAGACAAAATATTACTTTTTTGCAATTACTGTTTTTTTTAATATGCCTGAGTATGCGAGGTAAAACTCGGAGGCGTCATTGAAATGCTCAATTTTAACACACTTCTTATATCTTATCTGTACTGACCCGCAGCGCCCGCTTGCATTCCACTAATATTCAACATCGCGTATGTGCATAAAGTTATCATGCAATCATATAGGCAAATTCGCACATACAGTCCGTTTTAGGAAAGCAAAAGTCAAGCACTTGTGTGAACAATGTTGCACCGTTTGCCGGAAGTACTCCGGACGGGCATGAACCCCTATGCGGTGCGCCAAATGAATGAATTCAAAGCGCGTTTGACGGTTGCTAATGGCCATAATATTTGTTATGTGTTTGCTTTCTTCCTGCCTGAGTATGCCGAGATAATTTCAGACACACCGTTCAGACACAGATCTTGGGCGTTAGTAAAAGCTCGCCCAAAAAAGGCTTAGCGAGGAGTAGGGGACGCTTGTTAGGGCCTCTGTCGCAGCTAGCCGATCTCAGCGTTTGTGAAAAGTTAATCTTCTATCAGGCATAAAATTTGAGTGGGAGATGTATGATGACACGAAGAAGACATCATAGTAACTTTCGTGCAGAAGTGAGGTAGAATTTATTGCGTTTCCTTAAAAGTTTATGCGAAAACGCTGGGCTCAACTTTGATACCCTGTGAGGATGCGGCTTGCTTTCCGCCCAATGAAGTAACAAGAAGCGGACGTTTGGCAAACAAAATATGTGTTAGGCTCCAGATGAGCAAATTTCAGTTCTAGTTCACTGGTACTAGACGGGATTATTGAAATTGAGCTCAAACATGCACTCGTGGGGTGAGGTGACTAAGCCACGACTTACTACGTTTGCATGCGCACACACAATATCCGGTGTTTCGGGAACCAAGGAAAGTGCCCCGGTCTTCGTTTTGTATCACCCGAGAATGAGTGTATTGTATGTTCGTGAAAAGTTCGATAATCGAAAACTCAAGCAGCGCGTTCGGTCGCGGCGTGATAGCATGAGATGAAGCTGCTCAGTCGAAACCAAAACTGAGTGGCCAACTAGTTCCCAAAGTGCACTGTGTGGTATTTTGCCGCAATGGGGCACGTCGGTTTTGGAAGCAGTCCATTCAAGTTTTCTCACTAACTCAAATGCTAATGCTCCACTAACATTAACTTGCACTGAAGTAATCATCGAAAATGTAATGAGCATAAAAAAAATTCGGCCTTGCATGCCGTGCCCTTTCGCTTTATCATTGAGATCAAACACCCAAATTTGTTTTTCTTTTGCTATCATCGCGTGAAACGTTTACAACACTTTAATTTTTGTATGCCTTCTGTGATAATGTTCTTGCTTAAGAGGAAGGTAATGTAATAAGGCAGGATAGCTGTTTAAAGTTAAACATTTCTAAAACCCAAGAGGGGCAAACACTGAGACGTCTTGCGTTTGTCTCCTCCGTCTTGGATTTTAGAAATGTTTCTCAAGAGGAAGATTACTTTTGATTTACATCTCCTTTATTGATTCATATGCATGGTTTAAAGATCATATACGGTCCTGTGATAATAAAATATATATTCGCAAATGCATATTTGACTTCCCTTCGGATTTTAAACATACCGTACACAGTAGCCAACCGATTTTTCGGATGCCAAAAATTAGGATGTGTTTGATTATACAGACATTGGTGTCAATTGTTCTGACTTCTTTTGACTCCCGACCAAACCCGAAAAATTGGTCAGCTACTGTATAGGTGCTTTACTTGCAGCCATACATTTTGAATTTGCACAGCTCTAGTTCTCACAGTGCAAGATCCAACTAAGTGTGGTTTCAGAAGCTTCATAGTCTTTACCTCATGGGTTCTTCCCAAACTTTTCTCAAAGCTTCGTAAACCTGGTGACGGGGGAAACCAAAGTTCACAAGTACAAGAGCACTGAAAGTGCCTACATCCATGACGTCAAGCTTCTGGGCAACGACACTGGCACCGACCTTCTCCAGAATATCTGCATCACTTACTGGATTCAGGTAATAGGGAGTTTTAGTGGATCATCTCGATACCTCCAAAAACGATACCCGATAAAAATATGATGCAGGAACAAAGGCATCAGCGAAGTATTTGGGATTGTTACCAGAGTTATTGGAATAATTTGCAAAAACCCCCTGATGCATATTGCTGCTGCCGCTGTCAGCTCCTGTCACAACTACTGTCGAGACGGGTTATAACGAAGTCAGTTATAACGAAATAGCGGCTGCAGCAAAGCGATTGCGATTTTCCATTCTCGTTTACACTTTTTCAATGCATTTGCGTCTACCGTTTTGTTCTTAGCCTGAGAGTGAGGCAGGAAAAGAGGAAAGTTTCAAAGTAGAAGAAAAATGAACATTTTCTTCTATTTTGAAACTTTCCTCTTTTCCTCCTCAGTCTCGGGCTAAGAACAAAATGGTTAACATCCACCAGCTTGCCTGCACAATCACTACATTATCATTTGTGTCTGTTTTTAGCAAAGGAAATTGAGCGGCTCCAACGGATATAGCGAAGATAAATTCCGTGATACAGACGAATCTCGTTAATTCAAACCCGAGGGCGGCCGAAAATTAGTTTGAATAAAGCAAAGTTTGAATTATCGTGAGTTTCCTTCTATAGAGACGCATAGGATGAGACCTGCATGTTAGTTTTGAGTATTTGCAAGTTTGAATTAATGAAAGTTGACTAATTGAAGAAATAATAAAATTTGGAAAGTTTATTAAATCTCAGACTGTTGCACCTTGCTGCTTCGGCCGAGCAGCCACCCAGAACGGGCTGCAGACAATGCTGCAAAGGCCGCCGGCGGCAGCCTCTGCATCATTGTCTGCTCCCCGCTCCTTAACTGGGAAGCGGAGCTACTGTTCCGCATCGCATGCTGATAGGGGCAGGGCACTCAGAGTGCTAGCAACAATGTACCGGCGGAGATGACGGGGAGAGCAAGACAAGAGGGAAGCAATTCCAACCATGAGAGCATTTTCAGTTTAATGGCAGACGTCTCCTGGGCAGATTGGCACAAGTACTCCTGCATTTGGTTGTCGCGTGGCCAGTGTGTCGAAGAAACTGGGCGGAGAGGCGGACACGTTTGCAGAAGGTGAACGCTTTTGAGTTTTGACTCCTTACATGCTGCAGCTCGTTTCGCAAACACGGCCCACAAACCACGTGACCTCGATCGAGCAGTTGACCCTTCTCTCAAATCTAGGCTCTCCATACGGACGAAAGACAAGCTTGAGCGCGCATGCGGTGCAGTGCGCTCTTTGTTCGCTTCATATTTCGTGTCGGCATCGCTGGTCGGTGCGGTCGCTCTTGCGCGAAATTCTAACTTCTCTCAAGCACCGATTCGGTGAATCGTCGCCACTCAACAGTCTCGCCATTGCCGGCACCTCGACGGGAAAGACAAAGGCAATCTCCTTGAAACAAAAGCATGCCATCCTCGACGAAGTGTGCATAAATGTAAAGAATGCCATCCACAGCCGGCGTCTTCCACGGCGGCTGTCGCAGCTGTTGACCCGGTTCGTATGTAGCTCGCAGGATCTTTTCTCAGTCGGAGCTTCTCGCAGTTGGCAAGAAGCGGCTGCGATCTAGCATAGTGCGCGTGCAGGGAAGCCTCGACTACTTTCCGCTGGCACGATAAACATGTGTCCATGACGGCCCGTGTTACCTTTTTTTTTTTGTGTGTGTGTTACTTTTATGAGTTTCAGATGTAACCAAGACGCGGATATAACAAAAGTGGTTTCCGATTCCCGTTGACTTCGTTACTTTGTTATAACCGGTCTCGACAGTATACCCAGTGTGCAACGTTTAGGGCTAGGAGAGTTTTTACTGCGGCATTCGTTGCATGGGTGGTGTGAGCGGCATCAAAGTTTTGTTTATGATATTGCTAGAATTGTTGTAGTTTCAGGAAGGCTCCAGGTTTCAGCTTATTTTTAAATAATTTCAAAGTTTTGCGTGATAATTTATTGCGACTACTCAGCATTGCAATGAATTGTTTCAAATTTCTTTCCATGCTCCACTTGCCACCCGACACCAGAGGAATCCAATGATCGGAGACAAGTTTGCCAGTCGTCACGGCCAGAAGGGCGTTTGCAGCCAGCTGTGGCCCATCGAGAACATGCCCTTCACCGAAAGTGGGATGACCCCAGACATCATTTTCAACCCTCACGGTTTTCCGTCTCGAATGACCATCGGTGAGTGTGCCGGCTTCGTCAGGCTGGAATTCAATGATTCAAGGGGGGGGGGGGGGGGGTGGGGGGATCGATCGGTTTTTTGAGGCGAAGCCTTTTGCGGTGAGCATTCGTTTCAGGATAGGAACTATGGTCACTGACAATATGAGAGCTGCAGTGGGAGTCCTTCAGTTGTCCCACCTCCGGTACAAACTTCCTGCCTTCTATGATGCTTTGGCGTCTCAAGAGCCTCGAGCGTATGTTTGTAGCCATAGCACTGCAGAGGGCAATGAAAGCTTGCCGCAGACAGGTCTTCCAAACAAGAAGCCTCGCTGTTCTTGTCCATGACTGTAACCGTTAGTATCTTAAAAACGGATGCCAATCAAGAGAAACTAACTTTTGCAAATTTTGGCTTACAGCCAGCATTGCTGGCTACTAAACTTTAAAAATAGTTTCTTCAGGTTTGCGCCCCCTTAAATTATACGAGGTAAAATATAGCTGCCGTAGTAAGCCAGGGCCTGCAAAATGTAGGTTACAGGTTGAAGAGTGTACATTATTCCTGCTGTTGCAGCTATAAAGTTGCTGGGATGTCCATGTCGCTTCTGCGGAGAATCTACAAGCAAGCTAAGGTTTTGGTGTGCTCATCTAGCTTTGGCTGTACTACTTGAATTTTTATTATTCTAAGGATGATGGGTATCATTTTAAAGGGTAACTCCGGTCAAAAGTCAAACCAAAATAAATGACTGACATCACTTTGTGGAAACTAAATATGAGCACTGCCAAAATATTACACTAATGTGAAATCATGATCCCCCATGAAACTGATATTGAAAAGGCTACCACCAGCTTCCCAGTGGGCATTCAGTCGGTTGGCGGTTTGTCAAGCAACCTCGTGCCCCGATGCTCATACTCATTCATACTCACGGAGGTTACTTTTTGTACTGCCACTTCTTTCGTCGTGTTTTTCTGCTGCATTTTCAGCCGTCCCAGCAGATAATTTCTGCTAATTTCTGCTTGTTATGTTATGTTTAAGCGGCTATAATTGGTGAGAGCTTTTCAGCAATTGCGCATGAAGTTTATTGACTCCCTGCTTGCTCAAGTGCATCGTGCTGCTGAAGGTGACATTCACTGGCTGCCATAGTTTAGCCTGTCCCTACTTAGCGCAAGCATACGATTAGCTTCCATAATGCTTCTGCAACGTGCATTGCACACCATCAAGGTCGTAGTTCTTTTTAAAGGATAAGAGGATAAGTAGGGGCTTGTTCTCAACCTGCACCAAGCCTGCGTTCATTATAGCAAACTCACTTTTCGGCTGGCAATTTTGTGAATGTGTATTAAAGCGGTGCGGAAACGATATGTTGTGGCTACGAGCTCTCTACCTCTTGCTTCGAAATCGGCCAGCGAGAATCGGACTCAGGATGTACAGGTGCTCTGCACGACCAAGTGTACTGTAGTTGCGAGCGTTGCCGCTTGGTGGCTTTAATGCATGACAATCTCACCTAGTAGTAATATCCGAGGACCGTCATTGGCGATTATGCTGCTATTTTATGAGCCGTTTACCGTGTTAGTTTCACACCATGGAAGGGGGAGCTCGAGGAAACCAGTCGGTGGAAATAACCGTCAGTACTCAGCAGTGGTGACACCTGCAAGCTGCCTATATATATAAGGCATTCACTGGGGGCCATATTTGAGCGTGTTATTCACAGCCCATCTTGGGGGGAGGGAAAGAGGGAGGGGGGAGTATAGACGCTTTCAGCGAGTCAGTTACTCGAGCTGCCACCAGTCGGCGCGCCCTTCGCGCGCTTTCCGGGCCGCCATAGCCGACCTTCAGTTTCTCGCCGTTCCCCCGCGTTGTGTGCTGCACAGGCCACTACCGGAGCTTCGTTTTCGTGTTCATTTACGTTCCGCGTTGAACTGTTGCACTTTCTATGGGTCTTTTCGCTATTTAGAACTTTCATTTAATCATTTGATATTTATATTTCGACATAGCTCTTGTATTTTCTTATTTATGGAATGGAATCGGACAGCGAATGGGTCGACGATACTTATGAAGCTTCAATGAGCATGTAAGTTCATCCCATTCTTACGTTTTTGTCGCTAATAAAGGGCAGTCAACACTATTGCGACATCTGCAAATTGCGACTGACGCAGTAAGGCTATCGCAGTCGTGCTTCTCGCTGCATGTGCGCGCCCGTTTCCGTAAAGCCGACCCGCATGTCAGCGATATTGCGCGCGACGAAACAAGCGACGGAGATTTTTTTTTTTTATTTATTTACAAATACTGTCGCCTGTTGCATCGCTCGTTTTTGGGGGTTTTTAGAAAACGTCGCTCACCGTCTTGGTCGCTTGCTTCGTCACTTCCATGCGGTTTGCCTCGTCGCGCGACTGACTGAGCGACAGCAAAGCGGGTCGCCGTCGCTTATCTGGTCGCTCGCCAAATCGCTTACATGCGGTTTATACTCAATTAATTTCTATGCACACAGCAATGAACCATTCGCGCCTCGATATTAAGTATAAACCGCGTGCAAGCGATTCGGCGAGCAACGAGACAAGCGACGGTGACCCCCTTCGCTGTCTCTCGGGCAGTCGCGCGACGAGGCAAACCGCATGGAAGCGACGGGAGCAAGCGACCTAGACGGTGAGCGACGTTTTCTAAGAACCCAAAAAACCGAGCGATGCAACAGGCGACAGTGAGAAATCTTCGTCGCTGAATCTCGTCGTTGTCGCCGTCGCTCGTCTCGTCGCACGCTAAATCACTTACATGCGGGTCGGCTTTACGGAAACAAGCGCGCACATGCAGCGAGAAGCACGACTGGATAGCCTTACTGCGTCAGTTAAAATTTGCATATGTCGCAATGGTGTTGACTGCCTTTATTAGCGAGAAAAACGTTAGAATGGGATGAACTTACATGGTCTCTGAAGCCATAATCGTGTATCGTCGATCCGTTCGCTCTCCGATTCCATTTCATAAATAAGAAAATACAAGAGATATGTTGAAATGTAGATATCAAATGATTAAATGAAAGCCCGAAATATCGAAAAGACCTAAAGAAAGCACACGATCTCAACGCGGAACGCAAATAAACGCGAAAACAAAGCTCCGGTAGGGGCGGGTGCAGCACACAACGCGGAGGAACGACGAGAAACTGAAGGGCGGCTATGGCGGCAGGGTCACGTGACGCCAAGATGGCGGCGCCCATGAAATGTTGCCTGAAAGGGTCTATAATGGTTGGCCTGGCAAAGGACCCCTCATCCTCAGATCGAGCTCCTACCTCTCGTCTGTTAAGAACGGTGATCTTGTAGGTGTAGAATGCACGTTGCAGAAGCACCGTGGATTTCTTCGCCAAGCTTCGCGATTCCGTTCAAGCCCGAGTTGTCTAAATAGTTGCACTGTACTTCCGCAAGTGGCACTGGGGCAGGAGGCATTCAATTTCATAACTGTATCGGCCTCCCAACTACCAGGTCGTATTCAAAAAATCATTATATTAAATTAATATAATGATTTTTTTAGTCTTCTGCAAATAGTGGATTTTGAGTTTGAAGCGAATTCGAAGCGAATAGTGGTTTTGGCCGAATATTTTCGAATCGAATATCAAATAGTTTTTCCACGCCTTTCACTGCCAAAACATAATGCTTAGACAAAACCCCAGCGAAACTTGTGAAGGTTGTTCCACCTGTTCATTTATAAGCCCAGTTTAATCTATCTATATTTATGAACTGAGACCTCAGAAGGTCTGATGTCTTGGGCTGGTGAGTAAACAAGTTTGTAATAAAATGAATCTAATGGAAATGGCCAACTATACCCAATTTAGTGAATCTACAAATCTTTAATATTCTTTCTTTACTTTCGAGTTAAAAAAGAATGACTCGCCCATGATGAACGCAAGTTGCAAGGGCATCTCTGCCCAACAACAACTGTTGCAAAACAGTCAGTTTAATTTTAAAACTTCTACTACAATGTAAATACTACACATTCACAAAGTTTCCATTTATTTCCATATACAGCCGGCACGCGTGCACCATCCCGCTTTGAACGTATGGTTTTCATCCAAGCACGCAACTGCGATATTCATACTTTTTTAAGTGTTTATCATGGCGGGTTATTCCGTTGAGTGCGCTTCTTACCGAGCACCGATGTAATGAAGAGAAGCAACACCCACGGAGCTTGCTATCGCGGGTGTTGCTTCTCCGCAGTGCACCGGTGCTCAGTAAGAAGCACACTCAACGGGGCTAACCCACCGCAATCAACACTTCGAAAAACGCGAATAGTGAAGTTCTCGAAGCGAATATCGAATAGTGTATTATTCGGAACTACTATTCGAAATTTTGAATATTCGCACAACCCTATTATATTTGTTTTCTATTTTTAGGTTTTGTCCGTTTATGAGCGGAAGTCTGGTGTTTCTAAGGTGCTGACACAACATAGTTTCTGGCTAAACAAAGAAATATGAGCCAAGGTTTCGTTTCCGTACCCCTTTAAGCTACAGGTGCTTGATATCCACAAAGCAAAGCTGTAAAACAGCCTTACCGTCTCACCTGACTGATCGGAATCGCTCTCGCCACTAGGCCAGTCGTACGTTTGGCGGTACCGTGGTACAAATTTTGCATCACACGATGGCCATCACAACAGGAGCCGGTAGTTTCGGTTTCGCCGTAGACCCCCGAAACAAAACTTTGCAGTGAGATATCTGGAGAACTACACAAGGCATAGAAAAAAGAAATAGCACCTCGTAATTCAGGGGCACTTCTTTCACTAAAAAGTCGCGACTCTAAAATCGAGAAAATGTGCTGGAGTTACCTTTAGAGTTAAGAGGTTTTTTTTTACACAAAGCGCTAACTGGCATTTTTGCCTTTGCCTAGGTATGATGATCGAGAGCATGGCTGGAAAGTCAGCTACACTGCATGGATTTGTACATGACGCCACACCGTTCAAGTTCTCCGAGAATCAGCCTGCCTCCGAGTACTTTGGGGAGCTGCTGAAGAAAGGCATGCGCTCCTCCTCTTTGTCCTAGTTTTGCATGTTACTTATTTGGAGTAATTTGCCAGAAATGGCTTCCTTGCACACTTAATGATATCACATGCCTATAATTGGGATTTTGCATTTTCAAAGTTGATTACCAGGATAGAAATTGAAGACAGTTTTCATGGCTAACCTCTCAGTAAAAATGTTTTTTTTGGGGGGGGGGATTTTTTGACTGGTTAAAGGCTGATTTTCATGCTGTGTTTAAGCAGGGCTGAAGATTTTTTCTTCTCTCTTTCCACTCAGCAACTGAAGAGTGAGAAATCACTTTTGTAAAATTTTGAGGGACAAGATGATCTATAATGGATTTGTATTTTTTGTTCAGGGTGACTCGATTGAGTCCTTGTATTTGACTGAGCAGCCTGTGGCCATCTGGAAGGGAGGAAATCCTCTCTTGCTCCCTCTTGGCCTTTACTATTATAAAACCGTTTTGAGCTCAAGTATTATAATTTTGTGCTTGTGCTGTAGAAAGACAGAACCCAACTGTTGGTGGTTGAGGATTCTGTAACAACAAAATTAACCACTGCATTTCTGACAACGGAGCAATTCTAAAGTGACAGAGTTTTCAGGATAAATCTAAACTTGGAAGATATTTACTGGCAGATGTTTAATTTTGTTTATTAATACTTATGAAGCTTCAGTTTCAATGTTTGTGCAATGCTAGAGAGTGTCTCTCCTGGCAGCTGGGTACAACTACCACGGCACCGAAAGGATGTATTCAGGTGTGGACGGTCGAGAGATGGAGGCGAACATCTTTTTTGGCGTCGTCTACTACCAGAGGCTGAGGCACATGGTGGCTGACAAGTATCAGGTGCGCCGAAACCCCCCACTTTGCTTGGTGGAATTACTTTCAAGCAATGTTCCACTTGTGCAGACTCGCCAGTTATGGCAGCAACGTTGTGTCTAGTGACTGTTTGTCGGCTAGTGTGAACTTTGCCACTATGAGACACAACCTTTGCAATAACTACCTAGTGTACGGCTGCTACACACATTGAGAAGCGTTACTTCTCTCCGACTTTTGTTTTACATTTTCTCAACGGGCGACTTTTTTCCTTCGGATGTATGTGGCACTAATTGCATTAACTGTGTTTCACACCAGACAAAACAGAACGCAGACTGCAGATGACAGTTGAACGGGGTTGCCCAGGATTCTCTATAAACATTTCTGGTACTTCCTAAAGTGTAGTTTAGTTACTATTACAATCACCAAGCTCCAAAGGGAGTTAATTTTAACTAGAATTACTGATTTGCAGGAAGCAATAAATTACAATTATATTTTGCTTTGCTCTCGTGACGTAATTGCAACTAATGCAATTACGTCACGATTACATTTGCTACTCCACTTGAGTAGCATTAGTGTGACCGATTTTGTGTATTTGTCCATTGTTGGAGGATTCATTATATTGTTTAGCATTCTGCATTCGTCAGATGTGGCAACTTTGTTTCACCAAGATTGCAGATGGTTTGATGGGAACCTGAGTTCGAAGTACCTTAGTAGTCAGCAGAAGTGTTGAGAAATGGACCAGTTTGTACTGATTCATTATGCAAAGCAGAGTGCACAACAATGGGGACACAACAAAGACAAGTTTTTTGTGTATATCTTTCTTGTATATCCATGTTTCTTGTGTGCTCTGTTTTTCATTATGAACTTAGTAGTCAGGTTCTGTATTTTGCTAGGAAGGGGAGACGGGCTACTGCTTTGTCTCCTTTCTATGTCCATGTTCTTTGGCGTTTTAATAATTACTATTTTATTACACTTCCAGCATTTTTATAGCATTGTTCTTGTCATGGCAATTCAGAGTAAAAGTGAAATTGAATGAAAGCCTGTGCCCTTTGCTGGCAGGAGGACAAATTTCCTGCTTTCAGCAGCTGCAAGGAATAATGTCCAGCATTACAGGAGCATCACAAAGATAGTTCCCATTGCAATGCAAGTTTTGCAATCTGATGCTAGAAAGATTTTACATTGCATTTATGACTTTGAGTCAAAAGCGCCGAGTTACAATCGTAAACTAGTTCTAAAGAAAGTAATTAGGTTAAAGTTATTTACCTAGGTACTGTAATTGAATCACATTACTCTATGAATGGCACATAAAGCATCCAAACCCATGACAAAACCAATTTTTGAGGAATTATCATAAAAGTGTGGTAGTAAATTGGAATATGTAAAAGTAAATTTGTAAAAGACTTGTGTTGATGCACTGTTTAGCACTGCACTATCTTTAATGGTTGCATTCCACTCTTGGTATTACTGCAGTTTGTATAAGTCTGGAGTTTCGACACTCAAACCAGTGAACTACATTGTCTTGTTTCATTTTCCTGAACTTTTTGTCTGCTGTATAGACAGTTTTAGGACGCAGCTGAGTGTCTGGATAATTGAGTTGGGCTTAATGGGTCGAATTGAACATATTTGTTTTTTAATGTTGCTGTTTGGTTAATGAAAAATACAGTTTACAGGTCTCATAAAAGTGGGTCGCGATTGCAATTGTTTTTTGATATCACTCAGGTGAGAACCACGGGCCCAGTTGACACACTGACTCACCAGCCCGTAAAAGGACGTAAGAGAGCGGGTGGTATTCGTTTCGGAGAGATGGAGCGTGATTCCTTGCTGGCCCACGGCTCCTCATTCCTTCTGCAAGACCGCTTGTTCAACTGCTCCGACAGATCTCTCGTGAGTTGTCCACTTCTCGCGTTTGTTTGTGGGACCAGGGTTTTACCCATTTTCGATGTCTGGGAAGTTTCTGGTTCTTCCGTCGCAATTATTGGCAATATTAGGACGGAACGTTGAGTTGTTCTTAAATGGGGGTCTGCAGACCCCTGAAAGATCTGTGAGGACATCTTGAGGGTCCACCGACTCTGCATTGTCATCCAAGTAATAAAACATATTTTTGTCATACACAAAAGAAGCACTGCACATTGTTGTGCAATGTCTCTTCTTTATCTATTTTTGAGGCGGGTCTATTTGACACCAGCAACTAGTTTTATTTATTGTAGCCGGCTGTCATAATAATCACTCAATACCGTCTTTCGTTGCCTGGGATGAGGTGCCCTGTCACTGCTGTAATCAGTATGAGAGAGTGCGTTAGAACTGTGGTGGTACCATGCATAACTTTGGTTGAAACTATTGTACAGTGTAGAACCCAGTAATGGTGAATGGGAACTGCATTCCCAGGGTTTTTCTGTAGGAACATTAGAATAAGCCAGAACCTGATTACTGTATAATTGCCTTGGGGTAAACTTCAGCCGTCTTGTAAAGATTGTGGTCTAGTACTAGAAAAGCCTTAATTAGCGTGGAAGTTTGTTTAGAATGAACCAGAACCTGATAACTGTATAATTAAATTAAGCCATCTTGCAAAGATTGTGGTCTAGTACTAGAAAAGCCTTAATTAGCGTGGAAGTTTGTTGCACTTTAAATATAGACACCCAGATTCCAGATATATGTGTAGAATCCCGAATAAGACTAGAGGCATCTGCAGTCTTAATCCAGACTTCACATGATTCCAAAGACCTGTTCTACCAGAAGGCAGCCTTTGTTAGCTCACGGTCGACTCTTAGACGAAGGCTAAATGGCTTGACTCACGAGTCTTATTCTTTGTTCTTGCAGGCGTATGTCTGTCGCAAGTGTGGCAGCGTGCTCTCTCCGCTCATCGAGAAGCCAGATGGGGATGTGGTTCGGAAGTGGGTCTGTCCAGCTTGTCAAACGGGTGACTTCGTTGACACCATCAGCATGCCATATGTGTTCAGGTACCTGGCCGCCGAATTGGCCGGCATCAATATGGGCATCAAACTCCACATCAAGTGATGAAAAACCACAAGGTTCTGCCATCGACACTTGTACATACAACCGATGCAACATATGCAACCTGTGGGATAGGCTCTTGTTCCTCGAGAGAACAAAACACGAGTATGCCAACTGTTGCTCTTGTGAAGAGACAGTCTTTTTTGTGGAAAGCTTCCTATGACTTGCACGCTGCTCGAAATAAATGAAGCATCCGGTTTTGTATGGGCTGTCTTCTTTATGGAGCTTTTCAGTGGCAACAAATTAGTTCTAGTATCACATCAAGTGGCAGGGATCGCTATTTACACTCCAAGGTAGGGGTTGCCAAAATCTTTGATCTTGAGAAACTATTAGGCGCCTTGGCTGTTAGCCGAGAAACCCCACTCAATCTCAACACTTATGCAGTAATGCTCTGCAGAAGTCTAAAGGCCTCGTAGACAATAAGACATGCAGTGGAAGTGTTTGGTTAATAGTTCTGCACCAGGGTGGGTGTGGCTCAAGTCTACTAAAATAGTGTTTAAACTGATAGAACGCTTCACTTACGGGGCAGGGGTGATCGAGAGAGCTTAAGGAACACAAGACTGAGCTCTTGGGAACCCCTGTTTTCTTAGAAACCTAATTTGAGGACCCGTGCATTTGCTCTTCAATAACACACTTCTTGTAATAGCCTCTTATGTGAAAGGTAAAGAGGCACAGTACTTGGCCCTGTTTTGACTGACACTAGGCATACTGTTATTCCTACATTTAATCGGGGGAACTTTTGTTTTTAGGAGTTATGAGGCAATTGATGAGCTTGTCAATGTTATGGTTGAAAGAAATGTGCATTGCATTCTCCTCCCCTCCCTCTGAAAACATTTAGTGCTACAGTAACGGCGCTGGGTTCTGGCGTTGTTATCTCTAGATGGTATAGAACAGGGGTGGCCAAACCGCGGCTCGCGAGCCGCATGCGGCTCTTTGCTGTTCCAAGTGCGGCTCGCGGATCCCTCGTAAGTCAACCTCCCCCCCGGCCCTTTCTGCGTTTCCCCAGGATAAAAAGAAGGGATTTCAGGCAGAATAAAGTACGGCTCGCGGTTTGGTAGCCTTGTACCCCCATACGTATTGTCTTACAGCCTAGTGTACTCATACATACAGTCAGAGTCCGAACAAAATTTAAATTTGTACCCCCCCCCCCCCCCCCCCCCCCCCGCGGTTCTTAGAAGTTTTGTGGATTCGTTTGCGGCTCTTAGGCCGAATCAGCCTGGCCACCCCTGGTATAGAACCAGTTGTCACTCTACATTATACAATAAGTATTCCGAGAGAAACTACGAAATTGCTCTGAACTGTTTACTCCAAGGAAATGAACTGTTGCTAAATTCTTTAATTTCAAGGGCCAGGCTGCGATTGTAGTTGGAGACATAGTGTGTGGCCAGCCTTTTCTCTCGTATGGTTTTGATGGCCTGCACACCCCTTTCCATAACCTGACAACTCTGTGCGCCACTGGTAACAGTGTGCGCGCTCTCCATGATGAAGGAACGTTTTTTCTTCTGCCTGCTGGCTCTGCGTGAAAAGGCGGAATGGCAAATGCAATTATGCGGTGCTGTCCCATTACTGCATGGCAGCATAAAGTAACATACTGTTATGGATGTTTCATTAACTTAAAGATTTTCAAAAAACGCGTCTGCAAAGCAAATTTTTTTTTTTTGTCTTGCATGCATAGTTTGTTGGAAGCAGAAAACGTTTGCAAAACTGATATGCGAATTCGACTGCCCGTTTAGCTATGCCAACAGTATCTCTACCGAGCAATCCAAAGTACAAGTATAATGAAATAACAATGTAGTGTATTAAGCAACTGCATGCAAAATCGCGAGGCTGGCCGAACAGCACCGGATGCGCCGGGTTTAACCGGCACTCGTTTATGCGCGTCAAACGTGTCTAACGGCGATAATAAAAAAAAAAGTGCAAAACAGTATAATGCAGAACCAATATATTAACTTCATTAAGCAAATGTATGCGAACTCGTGAGGTTAGCTAAATGGCCGTTTCCACACGCTATAGACCTTTTCCGAGAAGCGTTCTGCGCACGCGCGAGAGCCTGTTGTTAAGCGGCGGAAGTGGGCACGAAAAATCGAGGAAATTCGGAGGGAGGCTGTGAATCAGCGAATAGAACACGTAATTGCAGCATATATATAATTACGTTACGCAAATAAAAGAAAGTGGCCGGGAAGAAAAATACTACCTTTAGGTTCGACGCCATAAATGCCCCTCTTTAAAGTTGTGTTTGAAGGGATACTACTACAACGAAATTTTGGCACTCATTTTTTGGTCTATATGTGTTCAAAGGAGCAGTGTCACATCAAACATACCAATTACTTGCTAAAAAAAGTCTCGAAAAGGAATTTTAAAACGAATTAAACGATTAGCAAAGAGCACCTGGTGGATGTCGCTAACGCCTCACTTGTAATGCCAGTCTAGGAACCTTGACAGTTACTGACGGTGAGTGTCTCGCCTCCGGCCACGACGAGAGAAGAGGGGAAAGAGGAACTCCCCTCTTCCCCAGAATGCCTTTTGTGTGTCGCAGAAGTCGCTATTGTCCCCCTACAGGATTATAGAAGATTAAACCGTCGCTCAAAATTCGTACAAAAGCAGCCGCTTTGGTGGCTGGAACGACTAGGCCATCCTCTCGACGTCAGCCTCGCCGTAGCTTTGGTCGTCCCGAGACGACCTACATCACGATTGTGTTGGATGTCACGTGGTCTCCGCCAGGCCTTCTCCAAGCGCTTGCCAGAGTGGGCCGTTTATAACGAAAAATAAAACCACCAGGCTCAAAATACAACCGTGCGATTGTTATTTACAAATATTGTGGATCATATTCAACCTATTTTTGAGCACGACGGGAATATTTGAAATTTCGTTGAAGTATCCATTTAAAGTTGTGTTCGGCACGCGCCGCGGCTCAGAGAGCAAAGAAACTGGTAGCGCAGGTAGGTCACTTCCTCGATTTTTAGTGCGTGCAGCCACCGCCTGGTACCGTCGGCATGTGGAAAAGGTTTCGTTGTGAGCTGTCTCGCGCGTGTCGAAGGCAAGCATTTCAAGGATTTGCGTGGCCCTTCATATGCGTATAGCATAGAAGCTTCTAAGTATAACCACGCAGATGTCTTCACAGGTTGCAATGTAATCCTTCAAATTAATAGATTCGTTTGAAAAAAAAAAGAAATGGCGGATTGAGGTTATGTGGAAACACCCTATTACCGCGTGCAGACCGGGACACAGCAGCACGCACTGCTGACCGCCTCGGTGTTGCCATGGTTACTATGCCGAGACACTTGCCGGGTTTTCTGCAGGGGGTCTATTTGCTTTGAGGACTTGCTGTGAAAATTTGCTACCGAAAAAGTTTGCACGGGTTGCGTACGGAGGTACAATTTCCAGCCTGGTCCTTGGCATCTCGGAAATCTTGCTAAAGGTCTATTGGATTATGTGAAATGCATTCCATAGAAGTTTGCTATTGTGCCATGTGACCACACTAAGCATAAGCATAGTTGAGGGCTCAGGCCCGTGTCGCAAGGTGTCCTACTTGGGTAAATTGCTTAGGGAAACTCGTTTAGTTTTTATCATAACTACTATTTCACTCCAAAAGGAGTCAGCTACAAATATAATTTCGAATGCACAAAAAGTAATTTATTATAATTATAGATTCCTTTCGAAAGCAATGCAATTAGTTTACAATTAATTTCCTTTGAGACCTACTAAGCCTCCTTCATTGACATAAACCTAACAATTTTCCATTAAAAAAAACACTCAAAACAAAACAAAAAAATGTTTAGACAGTCTGGGGGGGGGGGGGGGGAGGGGGGGGGACATGCGTGACAAAAATTAAATTTTACGCAAAAAAGAAAAAAAAGAAAGAAAAAATTCGAGCATATTGAGGCGCGAGACGCGATTTCGTCGGTAGTCAAATCCTTTACACTTATTTTCTCCCTCGGCATTTCGGGCGCGTGGACGAAAGGAGGTGGATCGGCTTGGCCATCACGTTGAGGTGGATTGAGTGTATGACCCTCTCGTTGAGGTGGAAAGAGTGAATGACCGTTGTGACGTCATGGACTTCCGCACGCAGAATTTAAAATAAATCTCGCGCCGTCAATATTGCCCTAAAATTTTTTTTTCGCGTAAAATTTATTTTTTAACACGCGTGTCTCAATTAAACTGTTAAAAAAATCTTTTTCTTTTTTTGTGGCTTTTTAAGATTTATTTGTCCATTTTTGCCTCACCAGCTTGTCAATCGTCACATTTCGTGTCCGTTTTTTCATTTTCTTTCTTAATTGTATAGTAGAGTGCCGGGTTTTTAGCAAATGAAAGAGTTATTAGTGTTCCTTTTAGTGTTGCTATTACAACCTTGTTAGTTGCCTTTTTATTACGGCAAGTTAAAGTAAAAAAAATGAAAGCCGTTTACAAATCCCTGTAACGCCGAATGGGAGCGCAGCTCTTGAGGAGGAGTAGGGAAGGGTACTGAGGGGGTCACGTCACGTGCGGGTAGTCACGTGACCCCGGGGGGGGTCACGTGATCTCGGAGAAAAGGAAGTCACGTGACCCCCCCCCCCCCCTCCAGTTACGCCGACGCCGACGCCGCTCAGGCTGGAAACGGGCCCCTAAGAGCTGTGCTCTAAAACGCGATATTAAAATGAAGAGTTGGAGGCTTCAATCGATTCTCTCAGTGCCCACATACACTTAAAGGAGCTGTGCAACGATATTCAATTGGAATGTTCTTCATTTGACGCGAGCTTACTGGCACACCTGGTACTCAAGGATACTCACACGCAACGCCACTGGCCAAGAAACTCCTTTGTTGCGGTGTAATTTCAAGGACAAAAGCGATCATTTTCATTCAATCTCTCCTTTGCAAAATTTGATGACGTAACTCGGGGATCGCAGTACACCCAAGTGACGATATTTGAATGCGGTTCATAGATTGGACCCGAGCATTGCGTGGGCACTCGACTTGGGCTCGAGACAATTGCTAGCTCGAGAAGCATTCGGGTTGTGACCCGTGTCCAATCGCTGCAACGACGACAACAGCCGAGCCATAACAATGTCTGGAACTCAGCGCGTGTCCTGCGCTTTGCCAACCCCAGCGCGTGGCTATGATCAACACCGGCGGCATAGAATCGGCTCCAGATCACGTGGCCGCTTGTTCTGGCTGCGAGTTGAGGGGGGTGAACGCTGCTTGTTTTTCTTAAATTTTTTCTTGGG